CATACTGTGCTGTACATGATCTATTTTGAAACCAGCATAAAGCCTCTGTCGGCACCTATTGTTGTGCCTTGTTTTTTACCTAATCCCCCTGTAATAATTATAATTACATGTCTCCTTCTCAGTGTCTCTAAGAAAGCCAGAGCCAGAACCAATCGAGGAGGAGAACGTTTATCTGAATGACCAACGTGAGTCTAACTCTTCTGCCACATCAATCAATGCCTCTACCCTTCGTGCATTTGCCCTTCTGTCGTGCAAACATAAAACAGGTACGACCTCATTTTTTCCATTGCTATCACTAACTCACGTCTGTGTTCAAACAGCGGAGGAGAAAGAAACAGAGTCGGAGGATTCCTCAGCCGTTCCACTCACACGTAAGTGTTTCCTCTTCTTATATTTCCGTCTCGGAAACGCACAGCTTTTTTCCTCTTTCTTTTTTTCTGGGTCAATGTAAACAAAACAGGGGTTGTTACACACATTCTACAAAACAAAGGGACAGACGAAAACAACAATATAGACAAAGCAGAATAATGAAATCAAACAAGACAAAACAAAGAAATGTGTTATAGTAATCTTGTTTCTAAGGGTAGTTATGTAGTGGAAATGTCTGTATGCCTTAGTGTGTAACTGATAAAGAAGACTAAGCAAATACAATTTTCACTTTTTTCATAAGAGCGTAAATCATTGTATGTTTTTGGTCTTCCTCAGAACCGGAGAAAAAAGCTACGAGGAAAGCAATTATGCCTCCAAATCCAACTCCTGCTCCTCGCATGCTGAGCACAGCACCATCCTCCACCTCCTCTTCCTCCTCCTCTTCCTCCTCTTCCTCCTCTACAAGCAGCACTCTGAAGTCAAGTGCATCCGCCCCACAGATCTCCTGTCCCTCCTCATCAAACAGCCTGGATCTGAGGGGGAGGAGACTCGCAGAGCCCACCGGACAGAGTAAGTACAGATTCTGGGTATTACAGCTATCAGGAGTAAAATGCAAGTGCTTTCTAAGAAACTTAAGGGGCCCTAATATCATTCTTGGGGTTGTCCCTTTAGTGTAGTGAGTTTCTCTCCCACACCCCTGACTGAAACATATCCATTGGACTCCTCTGTTTACTTCTGTAACTTAATGACTTCATGTTACGCTCGCGCTTCTATTGGCTAGCGCTCCAACACATTGTACTTGATAGGCTAAGAAGCGGAACTACTCTAAGCGGTTGACCAATCATAACCGAGCTGGCCAGCCAACCAATCAGAGCAGACTGGGCTCTGGTTTCAGACAGAGGGTGAGAATAGGTGCTGCAGCACAGGCAGTATGAGAGAAATAAAGAGCTTTTTGAACATTAAAGCAGGTAAACTTGTCAGAGTAGAGGCACTAAATACAAATACAATGCGATTATACCCACAAAATCAATGTATGCTATCACTTTGATTACAGTATTTGACCAACTGTTCATTTTAACTTTGAAGTTATTTAATGATGCTCATTTCCAAAGCAAGATATCAACAGAGGATTTATCTATGAAATATGACAGCAATCAACAATCAACTAAGAGCATAAAATTAACAATATCACATTATCCGGGGAGATCATTTTCATTAGAAATGTTTAATGCCCATGTCAACTCTTTTACTTTTTCATTTAGGATTACAGTTTGTTGTTGTGTTTGTTCAATTCAGTATATTAGTGTTTTGGTTTACAAGTTTTATTATGAAGATAAAAAACTGAGTTTTTAGGGGAAATCAAGCATTTATCAAAAGTTGTTTTCAAATGCAAGCATATGCCTAGCCTTGAAAACATTTGAGTTAAAGCTAAACATGTTCCGAACCTCCAAGAAGCTGAAGGCTTTCTTTAGATCTTAACGTGTGAAGATATCATCTCAGAGTAAATTCATGATCTGCTGTCATGTGTCCTTTAACTTAATTGCCAATAATATAAAACGCTTATGTTTTATTTTCCTCTAGTTTCTTTTGCTGCCATGTCTGAGCTGAAACTAAGGCTGGAACAGAAGGTCAGATGTCAAGAGTGACCTCTCCTGGTGGGATCCTCTCAAAGCGTCTGTGAAACCCACCACCACCAGTGACTCAAACCAGAACACACCCCTCACCAGTCTGTTCCCCCAACACATGGGAGTGTGTAGAGCAGCTGCTTCCACACAAACAAGCTCCTTCCTCCTCTTCATCGTGGCTCTGCTCCTCCTCGTCAGCTGGCTGTCGGCAGCAAAGCCTCTCCGAAGATTAACACTTTATTGATTCACCCGTCTAAGACACTCATTAGCAAATGAATCAGCTGTAACGAGGGGTGTACCTGTCACATTATCCACACCCTGTTTCTCTTGTACATTTTGCACATTTACCACTGACTGTCCGTTTTCCCCCCCATCAGATTTTATATTATTGTTCTATAGAGTAATCAACTTTTGAATTGTATTGCATATATTTGTACATAGCTAATTTATCAATATAGTAAAACAAATGTATTGCTGCCTCTCTTTACAGTCAACTGTGAATAAAGAAGAGTTGGGGGGCTAGTGTGACTATTGAAGGCAATTGTACAACTGTCACATCAAATTAAATACATGAACCAGCAACTTTGAGTATGTGCTATGCAACAGTTAGAAATCAGTTTTATGATGTTCTGTATCTGCTATATTTCCCGTGTAACAACCGTTTTTTGTTGAATAAAGCAGACATCTGTTTCTTACTTTGTTTTATTCCATGTTGAAGCATAAATCCAAGAACAAAGTGCTTTTGCTCCTTTAATACCTCAATGGCTGACACACTATAGTGGAAAACTATTTACAATAAACTGTGACATTGTGTCAGCGAGTGAAATAAAGTCAACATAATTTTCTTTAAAGCATTGCAGGCTACAGTTATTCAGGAGATGCATACAGCGGGAGCAACATGGAGAAGCAAGACTGTAACATGACGTGGACGCTACTCAGAGGTCGGGCTGATAGGAACTTCATAACATCATTTTCCAGAATTAAACACTTTTGTTTCTCATCCAGGTAGAACGAAAACCTGGCTAACTCTCAATACATTTTGTTAGCTGAGGCTACTTGCTAGCTATTTGTTATATTTGGATCACAGGGCAGTCCACTACTCATAATGGGATTCCTTTTCAGCAAACAGTGGTGTTTTTAGACACAAACATACTGTACAAACAAGCATTAGTGTGCAGTGAGGTGAATAGGATGAATACAGTACAGTTGTTTCCACAATCCTGGATATCTGAGGTACACTGACTAAAACTCACTTTTAACTTTCTGTGCAGTCTCGCTGAAAGATTAAACTCTCACAGCAAACACCGACTCTGAATTCAAACAGAACCTCAGCAGGAGGCTAAATGACATGAGTGGGACGTGACCAAAATAAGTCAAATGCAGTAAACACTGTTAAGTCTGCATGCATTAGCGAGAGGTAAAATATCAAGTTTGGAATATGTTTTGTACTAAAAGAATACTGCCCTGCCAAATTACTCATCCCATGTTCTCTTGAATTCTTGAAAAAATCCTTCATTTACCCTCATGCCCCCAAAGACACAGAACAATCCAAAAACTGAATATTTTCTGCAATTGAATAACAGCAAAACTATTTAGATACATAAGATTTGGAGCCCTTCATTGATTTACATTATTTCAATGGAAAACAGTTATTTTCTTGCTGTTTTTCTTTGTGGTAAATATACCTTTTATCTAGTATAATATAAGTTGATTGACATCGTTGTTTATGCAGTTTTGGGCACTGGGTGATTTTGGCACCTGCTGGTTATGTATATATTGGATACAGGTGGTGGTGGGATCAGCACACCAGCAAGGGCAAATGTTTTTTTTACCAGGGTAAGACAAGGAATGCCAGAGGAAAGGCACAGGGCAAGAATATAGGAAAATCATTGTTGATTGGAATAAACTGCATAAATGACGTTCCTGCCTTTGGATCCTTTTCCCTGCATAAGGTTTGGTAACTAGTGCCTCAACAACATTTTGAGTAGATTTTCTGTTTGATTTCCTTATAATTTTGTCGCTGCAATACGTTTACAAACTCTAACACAACCAGTGCAGCATAATTAAAGTCAGATTTGTGTAGTCGTATACTCACTACATCCCTACACATGATTTTTCTTCTTTTAAATCATTAGTATTTCAAACTCTTCCACATATAAAGGACTTGCACATAGAGTAGCAAGTCTGTGCAAGTGTAAGACTCTTTATGCAGTCATGCATTAAGACTTCTCCCTGTTTTTGGATTCTTATTTCACTGTGGAGGCATGCAAGAAACACAATGTTTTCTTCAAGAATTCAATGTAACACGGGGGGAATAATTGATGTAAAAGTTATCTTTTTGGAAGTGAAGTATTTCTTGATGATCCGTAAGTGGCAGAGTAGAGTTTGATTAAAACCTGGTTAAATAAACTACATTATATCTCTAGCATTGTCTAGGAGCCGGTTATTTGGGTTAAATAGGTTGGCTGATGGCGGATTGATTACCACTAAGCTACGTTACAACCAGGTTATAATGACACTGACACAACACGTTCTTTTAACTGGAAATAGGGAGATTTCTCGCATTGAAATATATCAAAGCATCACCCGATTTGGAAATGAGAAGGAAGGCACAGGGAGAGCTGCATCGACAGTACCTCTGACAGTTTCTGATGATGACAAGGAAGGAAGGGCAGCGGCCAGCGCTAAATCTTTGCTCTAGCAGCAGTGGGACAGTGCTAAATGATGTGTAGAGAGAAGAAAAACTAGTACAGCTAATGTGTCTCAAGCAACAACACCAGCCGCAGTCATACACCTGAAGAGCTCTGTCACTGGCAGATGACTCACTTGTTGCCAAAACCATTTTTGTTGTTACGCTGGAACAGGTTGAACCATCCAGTGATGTAACTCTTCTATGGTATGAGGCTTGGACCCCAGCCAAGGCTGAGGCGATGTTCTGCAGCGGTGACTGTGTTAAAGCAGAGCGTCCAGCAGGATAAAGTGTGGGTGGGGGGGGGGGGGGGGGGGTCTAGGTGAGGCTGGCGTTGGAGCTGCTGGTGTTGCTGTTCCTCCGCTGGCCGCTCTGCACCAGGCTGGGAACCTGCATGCCCGTCAGCACCGAGAACGTGCCGTTCCACACCTGCAGGCACCACAGCAAGAGGAAGGTTAACACAAATCAGGTGGTGGAACAATATAGAGGATTAAAAATGTATTTAAATGCTTTTGTAAGAACGTTTCTCACCATGAAAGCTGGTATAACAGGCTGCGGGAACTTGGTTTTGAAGGTGTGCATCAGCTGTTTAGTTTTGGAGTTGTAGAACGACAGAACACCTGGAGAGAATAATGAAGGTAAATCCAACATGGTACTATATTTATAAAAGCCAGGCCAACATGTACGTGTCTTTTTTATTGATTCATATATTTCAAATAGTATTCATTAATCAAATAGCCTCTAAAATGTCAAAACGTTATGTCTTGAACGATCGAGTGTTGTAAACCAAAGACATATTTTTTAACAATATAAAACACTGTTGCCTGATTTTAATTTTGTCTTCATCAATATATATGAATTTTATTCAAAAGAGGTTTTCTAATCCTAAAGAGACTTAACGGGTAAAATAAAGTTTGAATAAATATTAATAATATTTTAAAAATCTCACATTTTCAAACCATTTTTGCAGGATAATGAGCTTAGTGATAGGTTTTCTGTCAATTGACAAATCAAATCTAATGTTTCTGCACTAAAGACAAATATTTAAAAGGTCCTATTTTACACACTCACTTAATTGATTACTGCCACTCAAAATAAACTATATGTAGATCTTATCGTTTGCAATAAATCTTTTCATTAATGATAAACATTAGAGTATTTATTTGTGGGGGGAAAACTTCTCAACCTACAGTAAATGTATATCTGTTAAAATGTCAACATTGACCCTTTGTGTTTGTTGGGAAAATACTGAATGTACCAACATCAGAGTAGCACATGATAACAAAGGCCCTACGTAGCTGTGTGTGTAACAGGATGTATGATTATCTGGAAGAGCATCAGGACTGTTTTAGGCATATGATAGCTATGTGACAACGATTAACATGATGATTCAGCCTCTATGGAGAGAGACATATGACAAGCATGATCATTTCTGACGTGGACCTTAGCTAATCTGAACAAAACATTGTATACTGCTTGAACCGGTATTCCTGCATCTTGTGACTCTGTAACACCCTTTCTTGTATATCAGCATGTGAAGGACACTGTTCAGGAACTAGTTGTACCATATGCTCTGATGACTACTTCCATTCTTGCAAGGATAATAAATACATGTATCCTGATATTGAAGCTCAAGCCGGTGACGAGTGATGTTTTTCTAACAATATTTATCGCACCTTCGTCGTAGTTGACGTAGACTCCGATGCGGTTGGGGATGACGCAGTCCAGCGTGCGGGCCTTGTTGTTGTGCTTGGCGGTGAGGCTCTGCTGCAGCCAGTTGTTCAGGTGGATGCACCAGGACGCGCTGCTCTTCCCCAGCTGGTCGAAGCGTCCGAGGCTCCGCAGGGCCACGCCCACAGCGAAGGCTTTGCTCTCCTTGTCAAACCGCACCTCCCAGTAGTGCTGGCCGGCGTCGATGGAGGTGTCAGCTGTCATGAGGAATAAGCCCAGATAATTCTTAGACATGCAGTATAAACACAGTCTGATGGGTTGACTGAGAGGTGTGGTTACATGTTGTGTTAATAGTTCATCTACTTTGGGAAGAGAACATTACACTAAAATGTTTGCAGTTTCACTCGAGAACCATCAAATGTAAATCATGAAATGTGTTTATAATGAACAACATTTCCAAAAGAAAATCACTTCGCTCTCATTTTACATGTCTTCAAGGAATGTAAAATTGTTCAACTGTTTTTTAGGTTTTCCAGGAAATGTGGGAACCCTGACAAGGATATAGAGTTTGTAATTGTAAGTGGGCAGAGAGTGGTTTAAACGTGGATAAACTATATGAATGATAATAACTGTTTTGTCCTACTCGGAAGCATTACATTAATTACAGAAGTCAAGCAGGCTGGTCAACTAGCTTGCCTTGGTCACTGGGTAATGTAACAGGCAAGCTATCTGACAAACTCAGCAGATCTAGATGCATTTTCCAGTCTTTGCCAATGTGCAGGTCTTCACTAATTAGTAAAAAAAACAAATGTTATGTTGGTTGGTTTCACCAGCTGAGGTCAAGCAGTAAATAATTTATGCTGCGGCTTGGTCTCAAATATCTGTAGTGCTAAACCTCACCAGTGTGATGTGTGTGTTAGCCACTTCTGTCAACAGTGTGCACTCTCACCCAGCACTGTGTAGGACTCTGCTGTGAATCTGTCTCTGCCGGGCCGGGCTGTCGGCGTCCTCTTAGGAGAATTCAGAGCCGACCTGAGAACAGAGACAACAAACACTCAAGGATCCATATTTCTCTTAATAAGACTTAATTACAGTTATTTTTTAGGCTTGTTGATCCAGTAAAAACTAGGATTTAAAGGCTTGTGTTCTAGTGTTCTTTTTTTGCCATTTTCTATTAGTCTTAGTTCAATGTCAAAAGTCCTTGTTAGTTTAATTGATGTTTTCTCTACCTCATCCTGTTTGAGTCATTTTCAGTCGGCTAATTGATCTTTGTCATAGAAAAATATAATTATTTAACTTTTTGTTAAGTCTTCAGACAGGGCTCACTGTGTGCACTCGCTGTCGTTCTGATAAAGCACACAGGACCCTAAACTGGTTCATGGCAACAAAAAAATTATACATATATATATTATTTTGTCTCTTTGAAACTAGAGGTTTAGGAAAATAATTTGATCTAATCTTAGGCCCCGTCCACACGGAGACGAAAATGAAAACGAACCGATGTCGATATCAAAAAAGTTTTCCGTCCACACGGAATCGGCTCAAGAAACGTGTCCGTCCACACGAGACCGCTCGACCCGCTGGAGGCGCTGTAGTACATATGCCGGGCCTGTACAGTAAGTGGCGCTGTACTTCCGCCACAAAATACACCAAAAACAGCGAAGAGGACCCCCCGATTATGGTCGCCATGGTTGCCTGGTTGCCCTTCTGGTATTTCTCCGCGGTGGATTTAGCAACATGTAGTTCATGTAGTTCTCCATGTCCACTTGTTGCTGATGGTTGTGGTAGAGGAGCTGTAGATTTTGCACTAACATCTGTATCATGGTCAGTGGCGTCTGGAGCACGAACGCAACCCTGTGATCCACCATTGTTGTTGTTGTTGGCGAAACGCATCAGCAATGACGCGGGTGAGCAGGAGAGGTGGGGGAGAGGCGGGGCTATGATCGTTTAGGGCGTACACACGGTGCCGCAAGCGTTACGTTACCAGACCTTCCCACTTTGGGATGCGTTATCGTTTGAGGGCTCCGTTTCCGCGGTTCCGTTACGGCCTCGTGTGGACGAACCGTCCATAGGATAAAGAACTATAGCGGATAACACCCGTTTCGTCTCCGTGTGGACGGGGCCTTAGTCCCTCTTTTTTCGTTAAAAATATTGCATGCAAATATAGTCACAGTCAGTGTTTAATGATGCCAGTGCTGTCCCATCATTGTCTCTTACCGGTCATGTACAAAAAAGTTATTTGACAAACACTCGTAGTTTTCTCAACTAAATGAACACTGGTACACACCTGGCAGGAGAGTGCATCGGGGAGTTGGTTCGGGTCTTTTCCTTGCGGATGTCCTGGATCTTTCCTCCACAGCTGTCCCACTCCACACTCAGGTCCTCCACCTTCAGGTTCTGGTGGGCCGAACCAGAGTCCAGTTTGAAGTTGAAGGCTGCAAATTGAAAATGAGTCAGAAATGAATCCAATTCCAATCATAAAAAAACAAACAAAGACCCCACAGACTTTTCATGCATTGACAATGAAATAAAATAAACAATAGAGCCTTATAAAACCTAGTTTATGTATTTGTGGAACTCTTTATCAGGGATAGTTTTCAAGGGCTCCTCAACAACAAAACTACAATAAAAGGCCCAAAAACTTTCAACAAAAAAAACATAACAAAAAGATAGTAAGACATTGCAAATGTGATAATAAAACAAACACATTTTTCAACTTAAACACTTCTAAGCTGTCAAGAGTCTCTCAATTGATAACTAACCAGAAAGATACCAATACATGTGTTAAAAAATTGAAAATACAGTTGAAAATAAACTGTATCCAGTGTAAATTGAGTGTTAGTTATGAGTTATGACAAGACAGCCAAGAAAAAATCTGCATATTATTATAAACTAGATAGACTGAGGAAGAACATTATTTTTGGATTTAGCCTAACATAAAACATCAGCAAATTCTCACCGTGGGTTTCCAGTGTGACCAGCTCAGAAAACTCTCCCGCCACGGCCTTGTTACACGCTCTCACTCTGAACGTCAAGTAGCGGGTTTCAAAGCGCAGACCTGAGAAAAACAAAAACACAAGTTTCCTCAGTGAGTCATCAAAGTACAGTCAACAAACCCCTCCACAGTCCTCCTCCTACCGATGAGTGTGTGCTCCATCTCCCGGATCCCCTCCACCACCATCCAGGGGTAATCCTCTCTGATGCGTGGTGGCCCCTCGTGGTTTGTGCGCCGGTGCTCCAGGATGTAGTGTTCGATCTTGCTGTCGGGCTCCGGTAGAGTCCAAACTACCGTCACCGTGTTGTCACACACCTGGCACTCTGACACCTGGATCTCTGGAGTGCCAGGAACTGCAGAGAGGAGACAGTTTGTGTTTTACAGGATGTATCGAAAATCCACTTATGATGCAGCAGTTCACACAGCCATCATAAGTTAAATCCTTCTTACAATTTGGTCATAGAACACAAAACTAGAGTATGGGGTGTTTTTCATTGGAGATAATAAGAAAAAAATAAAATGTTAAGAAAGAAATTGGCCGTCTTAGGGAAAAATATAAATTTCCTATATCTCCAAATGTTCCTCAAATTAAATATTCTGAAGTTTCATGAAGAAGAACCCTTTTTCTTTGCATTACAAATATTTCATATAGGGTATAAAACCAAAGATCCTTATTTTCATTTCTTGTAATTGTTATTCTTAGAGCTACACTTTCAATGGTATTTCACTACAGAAATAGCTAATGTGTGAAATAATGTAATTATACTTTGAAGTTTTTTTGTCTGTGTTGCTGTCATCTTGTTCCCTGTTTAACTTTCGTCACCAGCTAGCGGCAGCAGACTGTTTGGTGCTCAACATGTGCGTGCATTAGCTGTATCAGAGAGTTTTTACCTGCTGAAAAAGCTGCTAGCAATGAGACCAAGCCCTACAGTGAATACGTGAGATGTAAAAACCACAGCAGCTGCAGAGGTAGGCAACTTCCCTCTGTGGTTACAGTGCAGTAAGCGACCCCTTTCACATTAAATAAACTAATTTCACCGTCATAACATAATGAGCAGTGCATATATTTAACACAAGGCTTGTTTGTATAGAGCTTTTGTTTTGCTATGATTAGACCTGTTACAGAGCATGGTTAAAAAATAATGCAGACTGTGTTAAACCAAGGCAAAGAGGTCTGTGTGGTTGCAACTGATTTACTTCTACTGATAGGTCTACAAATGTGAAAATTATCATTGTGTACATAATGTTAAAGTAATGTAGAATTGGCCATTTTATTGTGATGTATATAGGTGCAGATTAGTTTTACTAATGTATACATGTGTATACAGTAAAACAGCATTTTACTATGGCAAATAATCGAGGTGGAGCTAACTTAGACCACTTTACTGATGGGCAATTCAATCTTTAGATATGCAAAAGCATCAATCACATAAAGAGATTTATAGCTTTAACCCTCCTTTAAACCATATTATATCAAAACAAGTGGGATAATATGTTATTGCAATACGAAGTTTTTTTTTTTCAAATAAACCTGTCCAACAAAGAGAAAAAGTGAGGTGTATCGCTGTGCAAAAGTTAAAAAAGGGGGTCTTGACTTTAGAAAATGTAACTGAAACAAATGTATATGCATGGAAAATGTCTGTACTGCAATGGGGGATTTTTCCCATGTTCTGGGAAAATAAGGGGTCGGACTTAATAAAGACAAATAACTTGATTTGTGTTATTTGTTAAGCTAATAAGTAAAGTAACTACAGTTGTTTAGTACTTGTAGTGGAGCAAAACATATAATAGTTCATTCTGAAATGAATTGGATGAAGTTTAAAGCAGCATAAAATGGACAGACTTGTGTGAATGTACTTAGTTACATTACACCACTGCTGTGGTCAGCGTCTGTATTTATTTGTATTATAAGCAGAGCAAACCTGGGAGAAACTTGAGTCCCTGCAACACCTCCCTCTCCTGGCTGAAATCCACCATCAAGTGACTCATGTTGTCGCTGGCTTTAGCCTTCAGGGAGAGGCGAAAGGCTGGAGCCATTGTGACGCTGTGGACAAAGAGAGACACACAAACATGCACAAACACAAGGAGTGGAAACAAGTGTTGTCTGTTATTTTACAAGATCAGAGGGAAAGGACAGGTGTTTCTAATATAAGGAAAGGCTTCTAACTAGACTTCTGGTGCTACCACTGAGCTAATAAACCTAATAAACATTTAAAAACTAAGCTAGAGAAGGAAATCATCCAGGGAGGGGAGGGGAGCTGACACAGGATGGTACACACTGGAGAGGACAGTGGGAAACACAAACACAAAAGGCTCTCTTCTGCTATGCTTCCACAGAAAGGGTGTGGTGGCTACATGTCCTGAATGCATGCATGCTACATCATGAGAAGGCTACAGGAGGCTATGACGAAGGGAAATATATGACTGAGTACTATACCTATCCTTAATGTCTTTGGCCGCCTGGAGAGGAGAAGCAGAGAGGGGCAGGAAAAAGAGAAGAGAGATACGAGCGAAGAGAGAACTGAGTTGTAGCCCATCATGTTGTCATTAAACACAAGTCTCTGGTGGCTTTGTTAATATAACTGTTAGTATCAAACCTCTGAAAAGACAGATTTAAAATGTATACATGGACACTGACATTCAACACCAGTGAGAGCTGTACCGTATTGTTAAAAGCTTTTAATCTCTATTCTTAATGCAAATGTTCAAATTCTGCCTAAACCCTGTATTTTCTGCACAGTTTCAGATAAAGTTTAGGCAACACTTATAGTATAGTATATTATTAGTATTATATTATCTGTAGAATTAGATTGCGTAGGAATGTTCCTGACTTCTCTAATCGGGACGATAATTTAAGAAGTCAGAATGTATTTTTTTTTTAAAAGGTGTAAACATTTCCTTAGTTCATGTTTTTTATCTAAACAAATATTCTACTTCAAAACATATTTGCTGGCACTTAGCCTTTCAAAAGCATAATTTTCCCTGCAGTAGAAGACAGTTGGTGCTCCTGCTTGCACACAAAGGGAGGCACACAATAATGAGGAAAATTCATTAAAGAAATTTGATTTGATTAAAAAAAACTCACTTACTCTTTCTTAGGACTTGATTTTTTCAAATTGAGGATTATGTTCAACGATTTTTTTAGGGTGACGACATCTTAAAATATGACGAGAGACATACGAAACCTTCCATAAAAGCTTTAAATGTACATAATGGCCATTTGGTACAGCCCTAGCACCATCAGTCATTAGCAATGTGGTTATAACAGAGAGCAGATGGGACAGAGTGACATCACGGTGAGTCAGTTACCTGATTGAAACCGTCCGTCTCGGAGGAGCAGAGCGTCTGATTGGCCAGCTCCAGCAGCTCCTCTGAACTCTCCAGGGCTTTGGAGCAGGCGCTCAGCTGACTCTGAAAACATCCCCAACCCACGGTCAAACAGAGAACATCCTCTAACTCTTACACGTTTGTCGTATAAAGGGACTTCTGTGTTCGCTGCATCATTTGAGAGTCATGGCTGACTCCTGAGGCTGCAGAGTAACCTAACACTTTTTAGGTCATTATACAGTATAATAATAACACCTTGTTTTCACTGCATGTGAGCTGGAAAAGATGCTGTATTCAAGCCACAGAGCTCACTCAACCACTATGAAAATCAATTCAATTTTTAAATAAGCTATGTGAGGTCATGAGCCAATTTGATTACATTTGTTTTATTTTGATAATAAAATATTTCTCCAGATGATGTAAAAACTAATTATGTTATCTGAAGAATATATTTACCGGTACTTTTCCTTGTGTTTTATTTCCTTTGTTTAAAAGTGTGTTTTCAGTCATTTTGAAAAATGGCAACAACTAAAGATTACTTTTATTATCGATTAACGTACCGATTATTTACTGGATAAAAGTAGTCTTTAAAAGTGTTGTAAGTAGTACCCTTCACATTTATTCAAAGTCCTTAGTCTTTCAAATCCAAAATATATTAAGTTAAACATAATGTATAACAGAGAAAAGCAGGAAATCAACCTATTTGAGGGGCTGAAAACTTTATCTACAATCAAAAACAGTTTGCGATTCTTTTCTGTACATCTGTAACATCATTAATCTGGTGTTGAAAATATGTACTTTTTTGCTATCTGCTTATTTACCTGACAATAAATGCCGACAGCAGAATATGCTTCTCACAAGCCTTGATTTTCTTATTAAATAAAAACGAATTGCAATTAAATATGTGCATGTTTGAGGAAATGCAAATGAAACAGCATCTACCTGTAGCTCGTATGTGCGGCTGGCTCTCTCCTGTTTGATGCGAGTCACCATGTTTTCCTTCATCTCGACCAGAACAGCATTCAGGGCGGTGAACTCAGACTCCAGATCCTCCTGGACCCTGTTCGTGTTCCCCTGGTGCCGCAAACAGAAAACAGTGAATACAGGAAGTAAGCTTTTCTGTAGCTAAATGAATGAACTAACTACTAAACTGTGTGCAGACAGGATTCAATTCTATACGTGATTTTATTTTACCTCCAAGTTCTCGAGGTTCTGTTTGAGAGTGCAGACGAAGTTTGAAATCTCCTCGTTCTTCATGGCCAGCGTGTGGGTGATCTTACACAGAGATTCCTAAAGAGAAGACAAAATATATTTATGTTATAGAATATATAATATCAAAATCACTGTGGGGAATTTTACAGCGTTACAGCAAAGGTGGCAGTGCAGATAAAAGGCAAAAATAGAGTAGACTATTAAATATAGACGCTTGCACACACAAATCTAAATAAAAACAAATAAGTATGCACCCATGGAAAAAATAAGTAGTTGAACATATAAGAGATAACTGCATGTTAAATTAGTGAATTGCACATAATCTAATAGTGTGCTATTGTTGAAACAAGCCAGAACATTGCAAAAGATTGGAGATAGCAGCAGGCTAACATTCAACACTAGTTATTTCTGAGAAAAAAAGGAAATGTTATCCTTTGAGACTGGAAAATCTGTACAGTAATATTATCTTCTTCAAAGACTGATTAAGCATGAATACTAATTTATTCTCTAACCAAACTTGAGTGTATCCTCTGTGGTGGAGGTTATGCTAATCAGTGTTTGGTTTAAGAGGACTCATGGAGGTTTAGGCTTTGAGCTCCCTTTTAGTCATGATTAACATTGTGTTGATCAGACTGGATGGGATCAGAGAGGGATCTATAGTGTCACAGGGAGGGAGGACACTTCACGGGCGGAAGGATGCGCATTAATAATGTATAATGCATCTGAACCCATTGAACAGCCCACTTCAAAGCACTGGACATACACTGGGTCACATATTACACGGATCACACAACTGATATGTTACCACTTCCGGTTATGTTTCATCTGGCACACAGTGAACAAGCCCATTCATACTGAAGGGCAGTGTAATGTTTGTTGATGCGAGAGGAGATGTGCCAAGGCCCCCACGACCGTGACTATAACGCCGATACACCGATAACACATCTCGGCATGCTCAAGACAAACCTCCCCTGCAGCCACACCAACATTGATTCAAATACAAAACACCACCGTGCAATACGAGTCCGTACCGCATCCACAAACTCCCAAATCCTGCAGCTTGTCCCCCTCCTTCCTTTGTACACTACGCCCTGCCTCAATCGGCTTCCCCCATCAGAGACACCTGTTCCTCCGGATCCGGCTCACCTTCTGGTCCCCCATCTCCGAAGCTCCGGGGCCGTTGTAGCCGCAAACACAGCCCGAATTTCTGCTCCGTCCTCCGGGTATTTAGCTTTATATGCACGGCGGAGCTGGTACTGATGCTGCCGGAGTGCAACGCATCCTCGGACGGACACCAACCACCAACGCCTTCGGGCCAGAGTGGGTACTGCGCATGCGTCAGCAGAGGATTCTGGGTGCTGGTGTTTCTGCAGCGCGGGTGCTGCCTTCAGGTACTGTCGGAGAAAAGGTGAATTTAAGATAATAAGATAAGATAAGATGTACTTTATTGATCCCATATTGGGAAATGCTTGCGTTTCAGCAGCATAAAAACAAGGCATTACACATAAGAAATACAAATAATTATAATGATAATTTACAATAAAGAGGTTTTTTTTTTGTCCTATATACGTTGTAGGCATATTAACACAAATGATTCCGGTTAAAATTATTAGTAATGAATTAATCAACCATTCAGCCTTTCAATAACATATAATATACTTTGATACAACATATGGTTTAAAGTTATTTTCTTTCTTGTTTTTGTTGAAAATGACTTATATACCTGATTTACGTATAACCCTGAGAACAAATGTAAAATAAAATATGTGTTGATTTTGTCATGACTCATGAGACACATAACATGTGATAATAATGCAGACCCTAAATTGATTTGCCCAATTGGTGAGAATCCCAAACAATTGTCTATATAAATATGAATCAAATAATTCAAATATATATTAATAAATGTATACGTTTTATTAATTTGATCATATATATCATAAAATAATACAATACAATTTATATAACCTGTCTACGATTTTTATTTTAGCAAACACCATTCCAAACAAAAATATTAACCCTTGTGCATTACTTTAAAAGAAGCTTTGATGTTAACCACCCACATTTTTTTGTGCACACAAAAGCATTTTTTTGGGCTCAACAGGTGAGAAACTAAAGAGGGGCTTCCACATGTGGCAGACCAGGTGTTGGTGCTGCTGGATTTGGCACCCCCACTATAACTTTGTCCAGGGTGGTCGTACTGCCACCAAAATCACACTGGTGTTTGCTGTTCACCTGTAGTTTGTGCACACACAAGCATTTTACTCTGGGCTCAGCATATATACATATATATTTTTTTTAATTATTCTTTGCCTTTCAAAAGCATTATATCCTTATTTACACAACACGAAAATAACTTAATGTAAAGTATTTATTTCACCTTCCCTTATTATAGATCCATGGGTACAAGTCCAGACTGCGGCTGTTTGTTGATAAATTGATGTTGTCTTCTTCTGTTTGCTTTAATGTAGGCTACTTAGTTGTGCATTGCACCCACTGCCAGTAAATGAAAGTACTACAAAGAACCCTGTTAATTATGTGCAGTTATTTCACGAGTTTTATTATATTTATTAAAATTACAGAGGTCCGGACCTCGGTGACCTCAATGGTGGGTACGGCCATGACTACAATGCCTACGTTCTCTCTGTCAGTCTGTAGCAAACTATCTAACCATTACATTTTGTAAGGGCAATATGAATTCAACTCTTGACTATAAAGTGCATTTCTTACTAGATTTGAAGATTATTGCTGTAAATCGAATGAATCTAGGTGACTTGCCAAAAAAGTAAACAAGATAACAGTTTGTAGGATTATTTTTATTATTTTACATAAAGTAAAACACTAACAGCGTTTAAGACAAGGCTGTAATGATTTGCAACCAAAATAAAACAAGTTCAACAAAAAAGATAAGAACACAGAAAGAGACTACACCAACCTCTGTTTGTCCTATTTTACCAATTGTTTAATAGTGGAAATGTATGGTAATTTTGTTTTCAATTTCAATGTATATAGGTGTATATTCAAGCCACAGAGCTCACTCAACCCTAAGCTGCTGTTCCACTAAACGAGTGATTTGAACTAGTTTCTGTCTTTACATTTGTCTTTAGGCAGGACCTACTTTCTGTGTGAAAATGAAGTTGAGGTTTCAGAAGTTATACACCCCCCCCCCTGTACACACGAGATGTTTGTTCTTGTGGCTTCACTTCACCGTCATGATGAAAAGATAAAACACAGACACTTAATATCTTATGTTGGATCATTCAGAAATCACAATCAGGTTTATTTTCAAGATAGTTTTCACATAGAGGGAATGTGGATTTGTGCATGAAAATAAACAAAATAGATAGATAGGTACTTTATTGTTCCTAATAAAGTACTTATTAATCTATTCTGTTTAAGATTTGAAAATAATATATAAGAAAAGAAGTACTGCAACAGTCGAAAAAGCATACATAAATTGATACTAAAAGAAAGAAAAAAAGGGAGTTGATGACGGGTTTATGCTAAATATCAGAGTAAATCAGTGCTACATAGATTTAAGATGTTAGAACAACTAAGGACAGTTTTTTAAAGAGGCCTTATTTTGCTTTTGGGGGGTTTTCCTTTTCCTGTAGTGTAGGTGTTTGTCCATGTAAATGGTCTGCAAAGGCTACAATCCTAAAGAGTTTCTCTCCAACACAACCACCAGTAAAACACAGGTCACATTGGTTCATTGTTCCTCATCTTTCTTTGTCTCAGCTGCATTTTATCTTGTAGTTTGTGGTTGATAATTGGTTCTCAGTTGTGTCTTGTCACAGGAAGCCAAGCGCTCCTTTACTTTCAGCCCGATGTGGGGAAATGTGTTTAGCACCCTTGCACCAAAACCCACAAGGGTTTCAGAAACCCCTTGTATCATCGATTTGTGCCCAGCTTTTCTTTTCATAATACAAGTTGGTACTTGTATATGCATCCCATTGAGAGATTCACTGTCTGTTCCCAGTCAGCAGATGTGCGCCTTCAGCAGCATGTGCTTATTTAACAATGAGGAAGCAGCAGAACTTTAAAGTAGCCTACTTTAATTCAACGCAAATGAAACAACAGTGCAGTACTGTTATGGCAGGACTCTCTTTTCTTTTTAAAAGCCTACACTACTTTCCATTTCTTGTTGTTTTTTAACCTCCACAACAGACAGTCCCCTCCTCAGTCAGTAACTTATTCTCAAAGTAAAGACGCCTCCTCCCACCCACACACAGGTTTTTTTCTGCAGCGCTGTCTGATGTGCTCACAGGCAGACAGCAGAGACAGGATGAGACTGAGAAGAGGAAGACCACCTCACACATAACGAAATGGAAATGTGGCTGAAACGGACGACTCTGGTGTTGCTGACAGGTAAGAGGAACAGGAAATACACAGACAAATAACTATGAATACATAACATGAGGCTGAGAGATTAATGAATAAACAGACAGAAATGGCATGTGTGCCGAGCTAGACACATTTGTTTGTATACGTTTGTATAATTTCTTTGTAACTGGCTAACAGATCCTGCAAAAGAGATAAATGTTCTTTAAATGAAGTTTACAAATGTTTACATTTAAACATTTCTCAGATCTGGTCATGTATCTATGTATCTATCAGAGTTGAAAGAAGTACTTAGATTATTTACTTAAGAAAAAGTAGTAATACTACAGTGTAAAAATACTCAGTTACAAGTTAATGTCCTGCATTCAAAATTGTACTTAAGTAAAACTAAAAAGTACTAGCATCAAAATATACTTGATAAGTACCAAAGTACCAAAAGTAAAAGTACTCATTATGCAGAATGGCTCATTTAAGAACCAGATATATTTGAGATATTGTATTATAATTATTGATCAATTACATGTACATCACTTCAATGTAGCATTTGGTAAAGGTGTATCTATCTATCTATCTATCTATCTATCTATCTATCTATCTATCTATCTATCTATCTATCTATCTATCTATCTATCTATCTATCTATCTATCTATCTATCTATCTATCTATCTATCTATCTATCTATCTATCTATCTATCTATCTCTCTATCTCTCTATCTATCTGTCTTTCTTTACAGTGGCAGCTCTGGTGGTATCAGGTAAAGATGTGAATATTCAAACACAAAGGAGAGTGGAAGTTCCTGCTGGTTCCTCTGTGACTTTCCTCTGCCCTGTGACTTCCCTCTGCCCTTTGATGAAAGAACTCGATAGATATCGGGTGAACTGGTACTTTAATTCCGCTGGACCTTCATCGGGTGACGTACGCATCTCTAACAATTCTGCAAAGTCCTCCACCGTGGTGTCCAACAAAACAAAGCAGAACAATGAAAAAAATATATATACTCTGATAAATGCAACAAAAAATGACACCGGATGGTACTTTTGCACTCTCATCGTTGAGATTCCCGTTTTGAAACATTGTCAAAGCAACGGAACAGAATTAGTTATTAGTAAGTATAACTTGTTAATGATAAAGCTGGTGACACTCTACTTTAAGTCCGCCTATTCAACATGTATAAACCGTAGACAAAAATTTAATGAATTATTCATAACAGACTATAATGACTATTTTTGCACACATACAGTATAAGGAAATGTGCAATTATAACATCTTCTCATCCCATTTTAAATGAACTGTTTTTCATTATCTGTTCATACACCAGACTAGGTGCCGTATTATTATTATATTGGTGCCCACAGCAGGAGTAGATGTTAATAATAACGACATTATAGTGTCTTATAGTTATACACCATTTATAACATGTTAACGTGCTGCTTATAAATGCTAAATAGAGGTACATAAAGAAAAGTGTTGCCATAAAGCTAAAGTTAAGGGGATTTCTTTAAATGATCTGGCTTGCTTTGACTACATGAAAGTATAATTTCCTTTTCTCTGTGACAGCGGAGAGCAAGAAACTCACAACATACCCGTCACTGCCCAAAGTGAAGGGTAAACAAGGTTTGTGTGCATGCATGAATGTGTGTATGTCCATGTGTGTGTGCATGGGTGTGTGTACGCAGGGTTGGGTCAAATTACAGTTGGTTCCTGAATATAAATTGACAATTTTTGTAATTAGTAACGGTCATTAGATTGAATTATAAAAAAGGTTTGAATCTCATCTAAAACATTTCTTATAACTTTAAAAAAAAATACATAAAAAATACTGCACTTTATACAAAACTAAGTTTAATCACAACTAAGTATTTCAAATAATATTTATATAATACTGGGTTGCTTAACATATAATAATAATCATAATGATTATTTAATTTATATTTTGTATTAATAATCTAAATCTGCAAAGAAGCTAGTAACAAAAGACGTTAAATACATGTAGTGGAGTAAAACGTACAAAATGTAGTTGCGTAAACATATTATTATATATATCGTATGCATATTGCATCTAATCTAAATGATTTTATATGACTTCAAAATAAAAGACTAAAAATAAATTAAAACAATTGAGGCATCCACTACAGCTTAGTTCTACAAATAAAAAATGTTCCCCTCATTAAATAAGGCAAATTCAATGCAAAAAAAACGCATTTTTTCCATAATTCAATGATTAAAATATAATTCAATAATTCTTGACATTGTAACAATAATGCAATCCAGGCTGATTATAGTAACTTTTAATTTGTTTCCAGGTCATCTGTTACTAACCAACCCTGTATTTACCTATAGCTCTGATGACGAAAGATGCAGCTTTTTTAGTGCCCTGCGAAGCCTGAGCTTTTATTCTGGTAAACATTTATTGTTGTGGTGCCCATTGCTCTGACCTGACGAGTGTGTCAGTTTGACGAGTGGGTCATGACACCTGAAGTGAGTTCAACTTTATTCCGTGATGTGTGAACTTCTGCGCTCACAGATGTTATGTTGTGGTTCACACTTTAAAACTCATCCCTTTCCAGATGCATGCTTTAAAGGGATTTCTCTAAGGAAGTTATCTCAGCCTTATTCTTGTACATTGGCCGATGTGAGAATGACTTGTAAGCCATTTCTGCCCAAACACTATATTGAGTATGATAGGTAAAAGTGCCACATTTGCTCAGGTCTTAAAGGTCCCATGTCATGGCCATTTCTACTGATCATAATTCCATTGTTGAGGTATACTAAAATAGATTTATATTGTGCAATTTTCCAAACTCACATTGGTTTCTCATACAGCATCTCTGTATAGTATGTGTATTCACTCTCTGTCCAAAACGGCTTGTTGGAGCTCCTGCCCCCCCCCCCCTATGAGCCCACTGTGCTCTGATTGGTCAACTCGCCCACTCTGTTCTGATGAGTCCACCACCGTTACAGCGGAACATCAGTGATTATGTTACAATGTCGTTAGCAACCAGAAAATGACACAAGTAATGACAAACAGATGAGAATGCTGCGTGGGGTCTGGGTGCCGTGTTGGCGGGACGTTGTGGGGCTCGCTGCTGGAGCAGACAGTGTGAGCTGGCTTACTGGTCTCGTTTCCTGGTTGCTGCGGGGGATCTGCGAGACAGCGAGACGCAGCTAAACCCAGCCTGAACCCAGCCCGAGCAGACACCTGCAGCCTGGCTGTGAGTCTGCGTGTGTGCTCAGAACGAGCCCAGGCCGAGCCCCGCCTCAGGCTGAGTTCAGGCCAGGGGCGGACTGGCCATCGGGACGTTCGACGTCCGCCCCTGGTTCAGGCTGAGAAATCCGCGGAGCTGCAGCTGAGAAAAGATTGAGTGGACCAATCCGCGGAGACGTTACGTCACTATACCCAATACGTCACTGTACTTACTACACTATAAGAAGAAAACAATGGAAAAAGAACAATCTCCAACGAGGCGTTCTGGGGCAGCATAGACAGGTCTTTTCTGTGTTAGAGTTTTACTCGCTACAGGGTGTACTTTGAGGGTTTGTGACTCTGCAGACCGTTTACATGCATAAAAAAACGACATACTGTAACACACAAGGGGACGGTTAATAACCGGAAAAGCATGACATGGGACCTTTAAGTATCTAGTCGTACAACATGTTAGATAAAGTGAAAAATCATACTTTTTTTTACTATTGAAGCGAAAACACTTCCATTGTGATTATTAATTATCATCCACATAAAGTATAGTTTTACACGGTATATGTGAGCATGTCTTTGACATTTAAAGCGTTTGCAGATACATCATACTTTATTTAGACTATAAGCTATTTTTCTTTTATATAAAACATAATGAGATTTAAATAGATAATATAATCCCAGACTAAGACTAACTAAAGTATGAGGGGAAAAAAACGTTCCTGAGATTTGTGCGTAGAAAAGAGAACAAATCTTAGCTGTGGGCAGAAATACATTAACGCTCTATTATTAAGATTCATTGTGTGCGTAAATCGACTTACACACTTAGATACAGTAGATAAATTGACATGATTGTGATCACATATCATAACAACGTTTTTCTCTTGCAGCCGTGATTCCCACAAAGAGCCTCCCTCTCCTCGACCTGTGGATGTGGATCTCTTTGGGGGTTTCTACTTTCATCCTGATGGTCCTGCTGGTCGTGTGTTTGTTGCTGAGGAGAAGACATCGCAGAAGCAGAGGTACCCATCTTCTTTTTTAATATATGATCATGTACCAGTCGTGTCAAACTCAATTTCACCAAGTGCCTCGTGCAATGGGAAGATGAGAATCACAAGAAGGGTCGCACAAATGTTGTTTATTGACAGGCTTTAATTCATTTAAGTGAATATGTTTTCTCAAACTGAGTAAGCATGATCACATTTGTATGAAAAAGTAGAGCTGCTACCATTGTAATACTAATAGTAATACCATGTATGTAAACACCTTTCAGAATAAGTATCTTTGCCCAGTTAGCCTTTCCTGTCCGGCAGCTCACATACCCACATAACTTAAGAACATAATATCTCTCCAGTCTTTCTCCACATCTGTCAAACACTGGCTACTGAACAATCAAACATGCTGTCATTACTGAGTAGGGTTATATCATTGTTTTTCTAATAGTCTGTGCCTATTAGCCTTCATCTTAGCTTATGTATCTGTATGTATGTTATTGGGTTTGTATAAAAGGGCCCATGTGATTTAAAATGTGCTGCAATTGTACTTAGGTGTTTTTATTATCCTGATGTGTTTTTGCCTATGCGTATGCTCGTGTGTTTTCTTCTTTATTTGAGTGCTGAAATGGTGCTCATGTGTTTTTTTAGTTCTTCACTCTTCTTATGTTTCAGTTCACTCTTCACTCGCTTTCTTTTAATGTCATCAACCTGCCAGGGAACGTGCTGTGACTTTATCTGGCACATTTACATGATGGACTCAAGTGCTCATGTTAATTTAGTGCATTGTCTATTTCTTAAATAAATAAATACAAAAACTAATTTAAAAACAATTAAAAACACAAATGTCTGATGCATGTTTGATACAAAGTTCTTACAATTTGGTCCAAAAAGAGCTCGTAGAAAAACATTTTTTAGAAACATTCCTTACCACAACAGCATTCGAATCACTTTTTCCCCCAGGCTTGAATATTACAAGTCAATGGTTGTGTGAGACATTAATAAAAAAATTCAACGATCAATAATAATGTAGTTTACATGCTCCATACAGCCTAGCCTGTAGACACATAAGGCAATCATCTGTACACATAAATTACAAGTGAAAGTTGAAGTCAAGCAGATCTCGGATGCAGCTTGTTTCACAGAACTAAATATGACTCATGTTGGTGTGCTTTCTAGCCACATAGATCGGCCTATTTACAGACATCTAACGTCTTTTCTTTGAAGTTTATAAATTAATATTACACTGGCCTTAGTTTTTTGAAAACTATACGTGGCCCGCAGAGTTTGAAACATGTGATCTAGATCCAGCTAACATCTACAGATTGTAAGAAGATCTGTAGGCAGTAGAGGCTGCACGTGATGAAGGCTGCTCTGACAAAAAGAGGTCAAGAACAGAAAAATAAACGCTCTCACAGGCAACATCACTAACTTCAAAGATGCTCTAAATGAATATTGATTGTTTAACAAGAGAAATGTCTTAGCTTATGTCTAAGTGAGAGAACAAAAGACAGAGAGGAAGCACTCTTCACGTCACAGCAGGTAGTTGTATCTCATGGCCGGTGGATGCAAACTGAGTAAGCAAGTGGTTTGTGTGGTTTTACTGCACAGTGTGACAGTCTAAAACCATCAATGTAGGACAAACGAGACAGCATGCCTAATGCTGTGTGGTTTAACATGCACAAATGTTTTAGTTTTGAGAACAACAGACCACAGTCTTGAAAGGCAAGAAGTCATTTTGCAAAGCTCAGTGCGCGAAGAAAAAAGTGAGATTTGGTCACAGCCGACTGACCCATACTGAGAAAATATCTCCACATGCAGAAGAGACGAAAGCAAAGCTGAGAAATCCCCACACCGCACCACCCACCACTTTTGCTGCTTAGCCATGTATAGACAATTTACCTGAGAATTATAACTCACAAACAACAACTTTTATATTTAGATTTTACCAAAGAATTTATATTTAAATGTTTGGGTTTCTTTTTAATTGAAGTCACCATTTCTAAAACCAAGAGTGTGAACTGAAGACACCCACGGTTTCTCATCTCAATCCTCAAATGACTAATTCAGAAAAATGTCACAGGGCTGAAACTATGTTAATTAATCCCTTGTCAAGCAACTATTTTGTTAATTGATTCATTGTTTGAATACATTTTAGTTGAGTAAAAACAGTGTTTCTCTCTGTTCATTGTAAATCGAATATCATTGGGTGTGGTATGTCAGCCTGGACGCTGGAAAGCAAGGACATACATGTTTATACACATTTTAAACTATACTTAAAGGTCTGGTTTTATCTTTCCTGTTGTGTGTTGTACATGGTTTTTGTGCATGTAAAGTTCTCTCCCATTTGTTTACTTCCATAACATAATGACATCACTATGGAACACTCACACTTTGATTGGCTAGTACCCCAAAACAAATCACAACAGAGCCAGCCAGCTAACCAATCAGAGCAGAGTGGGCTCTGGTTTCAGACAGAGGGTGAAAAGAGGTGCTGCAGCACAGGCAGTATGAGAAAAATAAATAAAGACCTTTTTGAACATTAAAGCATGTAAACTTGTCACGGTAGAGACACAAAATACAGATACTGTATTAACCTGCAAATCAGCATTATCTCTTTATTCCAATGATTAAATGAATTGGTGGGCAGATAACAGATAATGCATATGAGTTGTGTTCCCTTTTTTCAGTATGCTTTGGTTGTTGCTTTCAGACATAAGTCAAATGTATACATATTTTTAAATGAACCAGTAATGCACTGAATACGTCTTGGTAATAAAAAAAAAAAGAACACTGCTTTTCTTATTTTGTTTATTCTCATGCAAAATATTTCATCCACTATTTACGACATTTAACATTTTTATAATTTAATTGAAAGTGTCATGATGACAAAATAATTGGGAGCGGCCGACTTTGAGATTCAATTACCTTGTAACATTTATCATGTGACACAACATTATATTGCTTACAGGTGTAACAAAAAAAAGCAAAAGTTGCTTAACCACGAACAAAGAGCTTTCATGTTTTTGTTTAATGGTGGTGCATGACAAAAGTGTTAAAGATGTGTCAGTAGACCTAAGTTTGGTGTTTGGCCACACAGGATGGAGCAGTAAGAATAGGACAGAGGTGACTTCCTACACACACATACCTCCAATTTGCACCTATTTTCTGTTTTTGTTATAAGCAATTATACAGCAGGACAGAAGCTTTTTCTACAGAACAAGTAAATGGTCTAATTAACACAATACCTCTGAAATAAGATAGTATTTCTTTGTGAATTTTAGGTCGCCTTCACACCAGCCTTGTATAGTCCAGTTGAATCGAACCCTGGTGCGTTTAGCCGCTTGGTGCGGTTCGTTTGGGTCGGTGTGAACGCAGTCCGAGACCCCTGAAGTGAATTTAACAACCGGACTCTGGTCCGCCTAAAAGAGGTGGTCTCGGAGCGCTTGCTAGTGAACTCTGGAGCGGTTCATCGCTGGTGTGAACGCAGTCCGCACCAAAACATAGGAAGTGTAGTATTTACGCGTCACAAAAAAGATTTTGAAGACATCCGAGATTGAAGCAGAATGAAGTGTTGAACAGTGTCTCGTAACAGTAAAAATGCTCCGTCAACTATACATAAAAGTCAGAGCCACCTGTCGTCTGTGAAACCTCCTCCTGACTGCAGAACGTCTCTCATTATGTGTTATAATGTTTTTTAACGGACGTTGTCTGATTATATAATCATATGCGCCGGGCCGCTAGAGTCTGTTGATCTCCAGATTAACAGCAGCATGCAAATAACCTGCCGAAAGTGCCGATGCTCAATGGCGGTCGGAGTCTCCGGTAGAAATTGTCGGGATTTGCGTTTTTACCCCCTTAATGTCTGACCAATGGTTGAACAGCATTTCCGTGCACATGACTTGTGTTTAAAGTTTATAGTCCGTTTGAGTTTTGCCCGTGTGAACGCAAACCGAACCTTCTGAAAAATGTAACAAACTGTGGTCTGGTGCGCACCTGAAAACGGACTATATTAGGTGTGAATGCGACCCGACTACATAAAATGATGCAACATTTGTAAATATAAATAGAGTAATACTGATAACCAGAAAAATGACAGGATATTTGATTTGAGGACACCGTTGTCTATATAGGCTAATGACATGTCTATATATATATATACAATTCTGTTATGTAGATGTCTGACATATAGTTTTATTTAAAAAGTTGTAATGTAATTCACCCTGTTTTTGCTCTTGATGCAGCAGAAGATCCAATCTATGCAAACACTCGTCCTGTGGCCAACAAGCACCCGTCCCCTCGGCCCGGGGTCCCGGTGGACACCCTGAAGAAGGCTTCCTCCTCTCAAAACCTCAGAAACCCGAGTCCAGCCCGGAGGTGCCACGAGGACAAACGGAGATGCAAACTGTGAAGAAGCCATGGGGCTTAATTCATCAAATCAACTCTCATATTTAGTCATATAGCTGTATTTACTGTTATTTTTATATTTTACATTGTATTTTACAGGTGCAGGCTTTTCCTTTAAACTTGAAATTTGTATGTACATTTGTTTTATCTCCTGAAAATATTAGGTTGTTGTTAACAGCAGCCTGTAGTGATCACTGATGCATACACTGGGGTTACATAATTCAATCCAGGAACTACAGGTTGGGGGTATTGTTTCGCACGGACACATATCTTGACGGTACCTCCGGGGTACCTACTGTGTGTGTGTCTCTTGCACTTTCTCTTCTCGGGCTGCGACCCGACAGCATGTCAATTTCTGCTGCTCAATAAAGTGAGATTTGCACCTTCGATGCACCGCCTCCGACTCCCTTCTCTCTGCACTACATTGGTGACCCTGACATAAGTCTCGCGAAGGATCCGAGACTGACTCGAACACGGCAAAAAGCGCAGCTTTTCTCGAAATGCCGGGGATTTTTGGAGACCTCCGTAGCTGCCACGTGCGCTCGGACTGTGGCTCGGTGCGCCCCACGGAATGGACGCGGACGACGCTCGCCATTTCCACGGCTTTTCGGCTCTGGGGGACGGCAAGCCTTCCATGGGGCCGGTACGCGACCGTGCCGGGTTTGTTCGGGACATGCGGCTGCATGTCCGGCCAGCGACTGACGGCCGCCGAGAACAGCTAGCCACGACTGCTAACGGCTAGCAGCTGGCAACAGCTAACGACGGCTAGCCACAGCAGCTAGCGGCTATCGACGTCCGACTGTTTTTTTTTTGTTTTTGTTTTTTGTGGTGCCTGAGAGGGGGTTCGATCAAGTCTGGTCGGCCTCGCGTGGATCCTCTCGCTATTTCGCCCACCTGTTTTTGTTCGTGGGCGGGACGACCATTTTTGAGCTTTTTCTGGTGCCTGAGAGGAGGTTCGACCATGTCTGGTCGGCCTCGTGTGGACCCTCTCGCTTTATCACCACCTCGACGGCGGTTTCGGACGTCACACACGCCTGCTTCGGCCCGTGGGTGACGCGCTTCTGGACCCCGTCTCGCCTCTTCCCTCGCCTCGGCGGTTTCGAACGTCGCCCGTGCCTTCATCGGCCCGCGGGTGGCGCGCTTCGGGACCCTGCCTGGCCTCACCTCTAACCGCGGTTAGAGGTGAGGCCAGGCCAGAGGCCAGACGGGGCGCCTCGACGGCGCCCCATCTGGCCTCTCCCCTGTCCACGGCTCCCTCCTCCCGGGGTCACGGCTCCTTCCTCCCGAGGTCTTCGTGCCCGCCGCCGCTGTGCCTTCGCCTGCGGCCGGGCAGCGCTCCTCCCTGCCGACCCTGCTTTCTGCGGCCCCCTGACGACGGCCCGTTCCGGCCCGCCCCCCACCCTCTGGTGGGGATGCCCTCGCCCTCGTTGGGGCCCCTACCTTCTTCTGCGGCCCCCTGACGACGGCCCGTTCCGGCCCGCCCCCCGCCCTCCGGTGGGGTTGCCCTCGCCCTCGTTGGGGCCCCTACCCTCTCCTGCGGCCCCCTTCCGACGGCACGTTCCATGGCCCGCCCTCCTCGGCCCCTGTGGTGCTTCCTCCCGGACGCGAGGATTGTGTCCATGGTTGAATTCTGGGGGGGCTTGTGTAGTTATCACTGATTCATACACTGGGGTTACATAATTCAATCCAGGAACTACAGGTTGGGGGTATTGTTTCCGCACGGACAGATATGTTGACGGTACCTCCGGGGTACCTACTGTGTGTTGTCCCTTACACTTTGTCTTAGTCTTCTCGGCTCGACCCGACAGCATGTCAATTTCTGCTGCTCAATAAAGTGAGATTTGCACCTTCGATGCACCGCCTCCGACTCCCTTCTCTCGGCACTACAAGCCATTGTATATTCTATAAGCAAAAAGTGTCAAATTACTTTTGAAAGTATAAATTGTGGAGACGTGAGTGACATGTTAAGGTTTTTTTTTAAGCAACGCTTCTTATTAGAGTTTATTTTTAAAATATGTAGTTTATAGTACAGTTTTTTAACCTTGATATTTTATCAAATGTAATTTTGCATTTCAACGTGGGATCAATAAAAAATATATATATATGTAAAATCTGAGAAACATTAATACTGTTTTGCAGTAACTGATAGTATTGTATTTTATTGTATTTCCTCTCAGGTATTTTTCTTTAATATTAAAGAAATGGCCACTAGATGGCAGAAGATGCTGTTAACCCTGTAAAGCCCAAATATAGTATATATATAATATTTTTTTGACCCTTCAGATGTTGTTGTAGGGAGCCTATGGAGCAGAAATGAAAGAGTTTTCACATTTTTTACGTTTTGGTAAATTTTTAGGGAAATGTTGTAATATTGCAACGTTGGGCTTAGGTGCAGAATTCCTGTATTTCGACTCACATTGTCTGAATAAATATATTGAACAACTAAGGGTTGATTTGCAGGATTGATTGCTTACTTAGCCCTATATCAGTATATCATGAATAATAATCACACATCAGTCATGTTTTTTATGAATAGTCATTTATTAAATATGAATACAATGGTAGTCCCAAAAACATATTACAAACGGCAAATAGCAGAAATGCATTCTTACCAGGATGAGAGAGGATGCTAGATCTGCCTGAAACTGTCTCCTGGTCAGGATCTCCTGCTTTGGCATCTTTAGAGCTTTGCACTCCCGCTTGTAGAGGAGCCAGGTGTTGATCACAGCAAGGATGATGGTGTGCAGAAGATGTACACGTACCAGCGTCTGGACTTCATGGGTCTGGTCCAGCAAAGGATGACACAAGTGTGACCGCTCTGCTGTCATACCATTTGACAGCACAGATGTTGTGGTTGGCCTCCACTCAGATGTCAAAGCTTCCTCTCCCTTTTTTCTTCAAGCTCTTCTCCTCTTCAAGGTTACAGTTGGGTAAGCGCACCTGCCTGGCTGTTCCCACATAATGAATCCCACGATCAAGGAGCTTCACTACCAATGGGACACAGGTAGATCTTGTAGTTCTGACCTTCTGGAAGCGTGGAGGCAAGCTTCATCACAACATCACCTGACAATCCAAGTTCAGACTTGACTCGTATCCCATTGACACTGCCTTGGTACACAAAGTCACAGATCATTCCAGAGATTCCATTTCTCACCCACTTTCTCCGTTTTGGATGGCAGCAATCACATCCTGCACACTGAATCGAGGACCTCTCTTTGCTGGTGGCATTCTGAAATGGAAAAAGTAATTAATAAATATGTATCAATAATACATATGCTTATTATATTGTAATAGATTACCTGAAGATATAGATAGGGTGGTGGGACAAGTGTTCATTCTGTCTGGCTTAGCCTATTATCATACTAAAAGGAATGCATGCAGCACCCCCTTCCAGGTGTCCCGATGCAACAAGTATCTGAATCCTATTTACATTGTACACTTGAGTCACACAATACTACCTGGCTTAGCCTATTATCATAATAAAAGCAAAACCTACACCCACACATGCAGATAAACAAGTTCAACAAGTCACACAATGCTGTCTGGCTAATGATAATAGGCTAATTATCATACTAAAAGGGATACATCCAAGTGTCCCAAAACATTTCAGAAACTGTTTCTGCCAGAACCAGAGTTAAATGTATTTTTGTAAGTAGTTAACTGACAAGATACAAGTAGAGTTTAACATATTGCTACAGATATAATTTCACATACTTTTATGAGAAATAATGTATTATGTTATTCAGTTCTGGTCTTAATTCAAAATCTTAACAGAGGACACATTTAGAACTTAGTTATAGTGAATTATCACTCATTATTATATTTCTATTCATGTTTTATTTCTATATGTGAACATATAAGAAGGGCAATCTCCATGACAGGTGCTTATGCTATTTTGACTACCACACTTACCCAGTATTGTAATATTACAACAAAGACATAAGCTGCTCAAAATCAAATTTGATGAATGTATTCCACAATAACTACATATGTACATGTTCTATACATTGTAATAATCACAAATAAAACATATTTGAGGCATTTTACTACTGAATCTGACAAATCCAATCCAAGTATGCTCCAGAGGGCAGGACCTATAAACACATTTACTACCCAATAGCATTGTGAGGCTGAACAAAAGGACCTTTTGACTATGTAAATGTAGTCTTTAAAAAAACAAAAACATTTACTGACTTTTTTAGGATAGCTTAAAGTAATGTTGTAAAATTACCACAGTGGGCCTTACAGGGTTAATAGGTAAATAAAACATATTCTTTTATTTGTTTTATTTCTATACGCCTAATAATATATAAGTGTGTTGCCAACAGTAGCATTTGTATGATGAGCAAATATTGCAAATTGCTATTCTAGCATGACTTGCAAAAACATAGTGTTCTTTAATAACTTACATGCTTGCTGTTATAGATTTTATTTAAAAACAATACATTTATAGGATACTGAAAATGCAGTATTTGTTGTGCAGTTTAAAAGCTTGAATGTTATTGGGCTGTATTACATTTGTAGGTGTCATAATATCACAATTTATCAACATTTTTATTTTATTTTATTGTTTTGCACAATATAAAAACACACAAACAAAACAGGCAACAAATGATAAACCGTGCAGAATGTTAAAATCACAATTTTATTTAAAAAAAAAACTCTGGATCATTATTAAAACAATAGTTTAATTAATAATGGCAACTTTAAGAACAACATACACTACAAAAAACGTCAATAACATATAACATATATACACGCATAAAAAAGGAAAATTATTTTTTCAACAATCCATAAAAGTGCAGTATTTTGTTATGTATGCAAAGCCATTCCAGGTTTCTATTCCCCTAATACATGGGATTACAGTTACACTTCAAAAATAAACAAAGAGCAGAAGTATTTCAAATAAAAAAACATGGGTTACAGCTGATTGGCTGACACTTTGAGTAAAGGTGAAATCAGAAGTCACGTGACCAGGCGCTGCCTACCGCTGAGAGCTGCTGGAGTCTGAAGAAGTCAGATGAGTGTTGGACGGTGCAGGTGGAGCAGAGAGCGTCGAGCAGGATACAAACAGAACAGTTTCTGATGTAGATCCTCATTGTCTCAACTCATGGTGAGTCTGAAGCTGGTTTGCTTTGTTTGCGCGCAGGTTGTTTTTCCTCCAAAGACTTATTATGTTTCCAAGGAGCTTGTGGGAATTGGATTGGCCACCTGTGGGGTTAAGACGTGCACACACTGTTAGTTGTCTGTCTTATCTAAGATTATAGGATATATCTAATTATAGCAGCCGAGAGCCAGACTAAAGCAGTAGTAGGATATGCGTTTGAGCTGACGGGCAGAAACACTTCCCACCGCCGCAGACAGCCAGGGAAACTTGTACTGTCGCTGGGAAAGTGTCAAGTAAATCCTCAGGGGATGGGCTTTAAGCCAAACTGTGTTTTCTAAGCTGGTTTTTTTCAATTAAAAAACAATGAAACCAATTCATGTATGATAAAAAATATCCTTGTAAATAGAAACAGCTTGTAGAAATAGCCCAGCTTTCAATTTTGTGTGTAATAATTTGCATTTCCTCTACATAAACAGTATACGATTCTCTACAGCTACATTAATAATTCACCAACATCTAAGCTTAATATGCCTGTGTTTGCTGTGTGAATAAATTCCGCTGTGTGGTAACATGATATTAAAGGGTGCGCACAGTTTTATTCATGGTGAGAATTAATGATCCATGAGTGAGGCTGAGGGAGCAGAGGATATACCAAGTGCTGTCAGCGCACTGGGCTCAGGGGATTGCCCAATTTTAGCTGCCATACTGCAACTCAGTGGGGTCACTGGGTGTCAAGGCAGGGCTGCACAGATAGAAACACCCTGTAACTCATTGGTCTGAGCTGGAAATGATGCATGTTTCCTTTGTGTTTCCTTGTATGTGCACACCAATGTATTACAGGTCATCAAATGCCTCCTAAAGCTAGATAAAAGCACATTTTCTCCACTTAACAATCAGTGTTTTCACTAAAACGACTCCCTAAACGAAGTGTATTTTCAGTGAACCTCTGTTGCATTTTGGTTAACATGTGAACACAGCAGCTTGAGTGCCAATAGTATCCAGAGCTCTACCACAAAAATAAAACAGTTTATTTAAATCCCAGCATGACTGAAACGCATACCTTTATAAACCAGTGTGTTTCTGCTGCTAAACACATAAAGGGTGTGTTTGAGGGGCTGCAATTATTTTCATTATCGATTCATCTGCTGATTATTTCTCTAGATTGATTGTATCAATTAAACGAAAAAATTCATTGTGAAAAATGTCAATCACAGTCCAAGGAGATGTCTTTTAAATGTATTTTCTTGTCGTCTTGCCCAAGAAATTCAGTTCAATATGATGTATACCTGTGACAAATCAGGAAATCTCCCAAGATGAGAAGCTGAAAAGCAGCCATTTTTGAATGAAAAATGACTTTAATGAAAAACTGACCCTCAAAATAGTCAATTAACTTATCAATTAGTCAACTTATGACAGCAGCTTTACTGCCTTCACTTAGAACCAATGCAGGAAAAGGCAATGGTATAAAGCAGCATAGTATTTTACCGAGCTGTACGGTATATCCAACACTTCCATAATTGTCTTTCCATTATACTACCAATTCAACTACAATGCATTGTACTGACTGGAATATCAAATGATCTGCCAGTAGCTGTTATTGGTTCAAACTAAAATAGAAATCATTCCTTTTGATCCTGCCTCCATTGTGGGGATTGTGTGCTCTTCTTTATTCTCTAAATTACAATTTTTTTGGACAAACAAAACATCTGAGGATGTCAACATGAGCTTGAAAGATTATAGAGGTAGCTTTTCACTATATTCTGACGTTTAAAGACCAAACAATCGAGAAAAATAAAAGAGAATACAAATTGAAATGGTGCAACGATGGTATTTACTTTTTGAAGTTTGATAAGACAACAGTCATTAAATCAGTGCTATTACATTTAATATCCAAACCGAAGTGCTCACCACATTTTGTTTTTCTTGGGTGTTCCCGTCTGTCAGTGAGCTTGTCACACAACACAGGTAGAGCAGGCGGAGATGTTCGGGTGTTCAGATTTTCCTTTTGTGCCCCATCACCTGCTGGGACTTGCCTGGGTGCGTGTTTCTCGGTGTGTATTTATGCGTTCAAGCGTGCACTTTACACTTAACCAGACTCGTCTCATCAATGACAAGTGATTTGTCGGAGCAGAACGAGTGAACAGGTTGTTGGATTTTCATTTTTCTAGTTTGCTCCTTTAGCCTAATGATGCGTGTGGTGACATGCTTGAAGACTGTACAGCACATTTTTCTGAAGTATTGTTTTTCCGCTAATTACAACTCTCCTGCACCTCAAAACAAAAGGTGGCTAGTCATTATCATAAAAAGAATGGTTTTGTTTTTAGTCCATCTGAGCTCGCAAAAACATAACCCCCCACTGAACCGGGTGTGTTTTCCAGTGAGTCTGCGACACAAGGAGTGTCAGAGGTGAGCAGCCTCCCACAACCGGTTTCCTGTTTAGGCCCCTGTGATGGAATATCGCTGCCAGTGGGCCGCTCGGCATACGTTGGAAAACACACACAGACTGGCAGCAAGTCAGCCAGTGACTCAACCAGCATTTAACCTATAGAACAGTCTCAGCCATTAAGGTGAATCAGTTACAGCCAGAGAAAGCCTCGCCCATTATCTCACACAAATGAAGACACTCAGGAGAGCCTGGGTCTACACTGGCACGGCTCTCTCCAGCTGTTTGACTCTTCTTTTTTCAGGATTTGTTATGACTCACTGTGATGATGACAACAGTGCGCCTGTCGGTGCAAGTTTCACACACTGCTGTATGGAGATTTTACCTTGTTTGCAGCACACAGTCGTAGTAAGAATCCACCGTGCAGTAGATACTGTGCTGCTATTAATATCCTCATGCTTCAAGTGGTTGGAGTGTTTGGAGATACTGCTGCAGGCTTTCTTCAACGTATTGTACAAGTTCATGTGCAGCCTTTGAACCCACAGTTGATGAGAAGAAACCCACAGTGCTAACCCTGTCAGGTATTTCTGCTTGGAGTAAAGGTGTATGTGGGAGATGCATTTTTACATTTGCATCTCTGGAGATGTAAAAAACTATTTTAGTCACACTCTTGTTGTTTGTTCGGGTTTTGTTGAAGCTTATCTTCCATGACGCTGACTCAAATGTCATGATGACAATGATTCTGCATTGTATGCAGTTATTGTACTAAGTTTTACACAAACAACATGCAGAGATATTCCCCTTTTACATTATTATGTGTGTGTCACAGTGCAGTCAATTAGCTTTACAGGTTTTGCTGGCTGTACAGGAAACCGCTTTGATCCCATCTAAACAAAATACATGACTAGATTTCAAACCAGTCTTTCACAACAACCCCTCTGCCTCAGCGTAGTACACACCTTATTTGAGCGTGGTTTATTATAATTTTGGTTACTAACACTAAAATAGAGAACAGAGATGTTAAACTTCCATGGTTTATATCAGAATCAGAAATCTTCCAAAAAACAGGGGAATGTACTTTGTTACAGCAAAGGGACAGTGCAGATACAAAATACACAATAATTAGGCTAACATATCATATAAAGAGGGAAGCATGTGTTAATAAAATAAAATTAGTTTGAATTCATGGTAAATTATTGAAAAGAAAGATGATATTCACTTTATTAAATCCCTCTACGGAAATGCAGGTGTCTTAGCAGCAACAACAACAAGGGTGAAACACAGGATAGGATGGATATGAGTTCACACAAGCATAGTAATAATTATAATACAGAAATAAAGAAGTGTAAGAATAAAACATTTACACTTTTTCTTTTACCAAATCTAACAATGTAAATTCAAATGTAATGTGTTGTATACGTATATAGTACAGATATTTATAATTATGTATGTGTTAAAAATACATGTCAGTTTGAAAGGATAAGTAGCAGCGTTATAAAAGTATGTAAATATATAAAGTAGGTGAGGTAGCAGCAAGTCAAAACAATAGTAAACTGTACAAAAGTTGTGTTGCACAAGAGCAGTAGATGATAAGTTATTAATCATTAATAAGTTAATAAGCTTTTGCACACAGCCTGAAACATTACCCAAGCCTTTCTGAATGACTAACTTGTATAAATAAAGGAGTGTGGATAATAAAAGGGCCATAAACAACTTTGTAACATGCCATCACGTGTGCAGATATTAAAGATAGGGCGCCATTAGCCAATACATTTTGCCCATAATCTTATGTATCCTTCTTCCCTCAGGTAAGGGGTCAAAGAGTCCATGGGACGGTCCTTCCTGATGAGTTAAAGAGAACAAAGTAGTAGCAAAGGTGGAGGCCATGGAGACATACATGTGGGATCGCTATCTATTTATTATAACATACATGGAAATCTTAAAATTCAAAATCAGCAGTTACATGAACGTCGTGTGCAATGCAACAGGTGTTAAACCAGCACACAGAGCTCTGCAACTTCCCCCAGCTGTACGGGAAGTTTGAGCTTCTTTAAACTAATTGTTTTGGTTTATTTGCCTCCAAAATCTGTCTCGCAGCAACCTTGATTCCAGGTCGAGCTTTTCCAGTAAATAAAGGTCTGATAAACTGTGTCACTAGCCTCCTGTCCAGCACCAAATGACAGACAGACACAGTTAGCAACTAGCTGGAGAACATAGTGGAGCATTAAGCAGATAAAGAGACACATTTGTTCCCTGTTGAGTTGGCCTTAACATACCTAAAGAAGAGTAAATATTTGTCCTATGTTTGTTAGGTGGCCAGACACATGACTCCAAATGAATGGAGATGTTGTTCACGGTCTGCTGTGATAGCTATATGTTCCCCATTAAACATTTACAGTGTAAGGCGAGAATATCTAAGTGTGGTGTTTTATTTAAATGTTTAAATAACTTTAAAATATGCTTTTTTTTTTTTTTAAATGTCTGAAATCCCAAGAAAAGATGCAAACAAATTGTAATTCTATTTGAATGAAGTCACTTGAGAGACATCATTTAAGGGCTTTATTTTATAAGAAAAGCTTATTCATGCAACTGGTGTCTAGTACCCTCAGCTGTGCATCCCCCAACACCCGAAACACACACAGGTGCACATGTCAGTGTGTGACTGGTTAAAAAGGAAGAGACAAATGTGACAACTGCTGCTTGTCTTCTATTGTTTTAGCCATACCTGCCTGTCTGCACGGTTTGGAAGAATCTGTGAAACGCTGTGAAAAACAACCTGCAGTCACTTCATTCAGCTGTGGCGCTCAACCTATCCTCCCATCCTCCCCTCCCCTCACAGCCTGAGGGGGAAAGTATGCAAGAGTTCTGCGCTCTGACAACAGATGAGTTGTCGTATACAAGCGGCAGCTCGTCCCGGTGTGTCAAGTAACAACAAGGTGGTAGCATGGCAGTTTGTTGCAAAACGCACAATCAAAGCCGAGGTTTTTAGAGGCACAAGGGAGCGAGCTCCTGGATGCCTCTCTGGAGGAAATTTGGTTGCTGTCATTTTGGTTTCTGTCAACAGCCGAGAACTGTGGTGTGCATCTCAAAGGATGCATCTCTGTATTTTATCTCTGCAAGCTTCGTATCTAAACAAAGCTTGCAAAGTAGCTGAGTTCCGCGGCTGCTTTTTGAGCAGTGGGCACCACAAAAAGAGTTTTAGTTTTCTACCTTGCGAGTCTGCGCTTAAGTATGCTTTGTGTGTTAGTCTAAGAAAAAGTGCCGTGATGAATTTTGAATGAGGCTGCACCGCTCAGTTAGTCAAAACAGAAAGAAGTGGTAAGTCTCAATTTATCATGATTCCCAGGGTAGGGATGCAGCGCTATAACTGTGAATTACTGTGATCTGCGTGCATGCCCAAACCTGAACTGATCCCCTCTGCTGCGTGAACCCTGCTGAGCCCAGAGGAAGCAGCTTCTTATCAGGGAGGAAGACAGGAAGAGTGCAGGAGGAAGAGGGGGTGGGGTTCGGTGGGCAGCGTGGCAGAAATCACTTGACATCAGTTTCCTCTGTGAAGTTTACAGGGATGACTTTTCATGCTTATTATGACTGAAAGTGGTGTTTTACTACTCTGATGTAACAACAAGGTTATACTTGTCCCTGTTTGGAATGCTGTCTTTCTTACTGTAATATTCTGATACAAGATTGGGTATACTTGGGAGTTTTAAAGGTGTTTTGCAGGAAGGTTTAATCAAAGGTTTTTTTGCATTGCGTTGGCACATTTTAAATCCAGTGTTTTTGGTCTCATACAATTCACTTTAAAGATTGTCTTTGTTGATTTGATCATTCGGTCTCTTGTGAGTCCCCATCTTAATACAACTGTGGTGCTAAATGGCTAAATCTGCCCCTTTTTAAAGAGGCAAGATTTTCTTTTGTTGAAATCAATTGGTGATTGGCTATCTATATTTAATTCCTGCATACTGTACATTTAATGCATGGATTATCCAATTGATGATTATATGAGTATGTTTTTTTATGTTTCGGTGAATGTATGACCTGTGAACAAATGGGCACTTGTGTGTCATGTTGAGCTGCCATGTCACTTTTATGTTTAACATTTAGTTATAAAGTACATGTACATTGTACATTTGAAACAATTAGTTTGCATTATTTTCTTTAAGTAGCTTTACATTTCTCTCTGGGGTAGCTTTGCACTAGTTCAACTTCTTCCAGGGTGAAAGTAATAGCTTGCTTGCAGTGGAGCTCTGTTGAAAAAATGGGACACTAAATGTTATCAGTGAAAGACAGAATTTACAGCAGATGAAACAAATAAAAAAGGTGTAGGAGGCAAACCAGCCACCCTTTTCATTCTTGAAGTGAATAGACTATATCAATCAAATGTCCATCTTTTATACATCATTTCCAGTCTTCTCATCATCTTTTCATGTTATGGGTCTCTTTAATTATTTAATGCATAGATGTTTTCATATCTTTCCTAGAGGTGGGCCCCATTAAGATGATCTCCTCCAGCATCCCTCACCAGTAGCTGTGCAGCATGGCTTCTGCTCCTCCATCCAGAGAGGACACCAGCAGATCATTAGCCCTGCGCTGGAGGCTAACGCCGACATAGATACTCGCCGACTTCAAACTGAGCCGAGCCGCACTCTGCAGGCCTGGTTACACATCCTGTGAACTGCCTTCTAGAGGATGACTTGTGCCAGAGCGGCATATGTCTAGGACGGCAACATCAGCACAGTGTAGCAACATCTGGACTGAGAGCGTGGACCATGTTTTTTGTCTGATCCGGTGCTTTGGTGGCAGAGCTGGACGGTGCAGCTCTTCCACACTTGGATACACCTGGACTCTGAGCCATGTCTCTTCTCTCAGCTCTGAGCATCGTCTGTGGATTGATGCTCCATGTTTCAGTTAATGCACTCGACACTCAATACTGTGTCCCACGAAAGACTATCCCCTACCAGAGTAAGTCACAGATCCTCAATATCACAGCATATTCTGTGATGTAAAAGGATGCTTTGGAAGTGGACGAATGAGGTATATTATCATATTCAGTGTATTACTTACAGTAGATGCCCCTAGTTTGGAGACACAAGCAGCTAAGCAATCATCTGTGGTTGGGCCAGCATCAGTCACAATTGAGAAAAACTGTAGGTAATACCCTGACTATGGATAAGTACCCCATACAACGCCGCTTCAAACAGTTTGAACCATCCCTTTAACTGCTTAGTTTTTGTGCAGGCTGAGTCAAGCTTATAAAATATCAATGAATTAGCATTTTGTTTCTTGCTGTGAGAGCGTTTTCTCCAACTACACAGCACAGTCTCAGCAGCTGAAATGTAGAAAGTAATGCGGATGCTCTCCTCCCTTTTTAGACGAGCTGAAGTTGTTCAGAGAAGAGGGGATCTTCAACTACTCCACTATGCTAATGAGAGACGACCTGGGTGTGCTGCTGCTGGGGGCCAGAGAGGCTGTGTATGCTCTGGACATCAACAACATTTCTGTCCGAAAGGCTGCGGTGAGAACATGAGAGGAGATTCATGAATAAACAACTGTTTACTAAATGTGCAGGTCTGCGAGCTGTTATGCTCATCTTTATTCTGTTTGAAGCCGAACAAAAATCACTCAAGAACACACCTGCTACAACAGTGGTATATGAACATGCCCATTTTCGAAATTAAATAGGTATCATTTATCTATAAGTTGAACAATTATGATGTTTTTTGGGTTGACCCCATATCAGAGATGTATTAGCTGTGTTGTTGAACGATTTTTCCAGCCATGTCTGACATGAAGGATTTTTGGAGGCTGACATAGTATCAAGTGTTTCACAAGAAAAAAGTTCATAGGGTCAGGTTTAGAAAAATGTCCCAATCAGTTCACGCCTCAAGTAAGTTTGTATCTTTATCTTCCCTCCTTCACTATTAGGGAGTGTTTTTTGGCAGACGATATGCTTACAGAAACACATTACGTTGTGTAATGATTGCACTCCTTTCAACAGCTGTTGTCTATTTACCCCGTGCACATTTGCATGAGAATTTGGATGAATAATGGTCCTTTTGAACTGTAGACAGCTGGTTTATAATTGTAGTTACACAGCGAACAGTCACAGCTGAAGAGGGATAGGTGTCCCAGCCTGTAGGTATTCCCTTCCCGAGTGTACAGACTGGTCCTGGCGTTAGATCAACACTGATATGTGTGAGGGTAAACGTGCTGCAGCTCCATGCCGTGCAGTGGCTCGGCTGCGACACCATTCCTGTGTGCTTTAACAAAAAATCGTTCCCTCTGTTGATGCAGGTGTACTGGCGAGTTACAGAGGAGAAACAGAGGGAGTGCACATACAAAGGAAAACATGCTGAGGTTTGTGTAACTTATTACGAAACAGAGCTTGCAATGCATTTACTTGTACTTGTAGGGTAAGGGTAAAAGCCTTAAATGATGACTGTTGACTGAAAGCTGTTTATCTCTGTGCATTTGTAAATCATTGATATGGGGATCTTTTTTCCTTTTCAAGTCTTGACACAGAACTCTCTTTGAAGTGCTTTGCTTATAGCTTTGTACTGAATGTCCAAATAAAGGCACAAGAAGAAAATGCATGGACACAGCCCTGACCTTTTGGTCACCAGTTGACCCCAAGCAGCCAGTGTGTGTGTGTTTGTGTCTTGTGTGGCGTGTTTGTGTTTTTGCGGCTGAACTAACAAAGCTCTGACCTTGGCATTTTCTCTGCTGGATCTTGTTGCAGGTGGATTGCCGTAACTACATTCGAACCCTGCACAGAGTCAATGACACTACGATGTATGTGTGTGGCACGAATGCTTTTAGCCCCACCTGTGATTACATGGTAAGTAAACTGTAAAACATGGAGTTAGTTTAGACACTTGTATAGATTGTTCCTGTAGGCAAGCCCTCTGTTTATTAGCTGAAGGGGTGGCTGTGTGAGTCATTCCAATAATTTGAAACTTTTCTCCTTTACTTGGATTATAAACCTGTCAGTGGCTTCAGTGCTCCTACTTAAACTATAATATATTGCGTTGGTTCTCATTTACACCCCAGTGTCCAGTCCATTAACAGGGAACATTAAGGTCTACAGAGGTGTTCTTTCATGCTTATCTTCAGGTTTATAGTTGTATTTTGTGCTTCTTCTGTGACATTTTGACATACTTTAATGTTCAAAAAGGTATTCTGCCTGTGCTGCAGCACCTCTTTTCTTCCTCTGTCTGAAACCAGAGCCCAGTCTGCTCTGAATGGTTAGCTGGTTGGCTCTGTTGTGCCCAGTATTGACAAAGGCCTAATATGCAGTTCCTTTAATGGCCACTGTTTGCTGTGTTAAATTAAAGTGGACCTATCATGCTATATTATAATAATATAGTGTAGGACCATACCTATATAAGGCATATTTATACTTTTTTTTTTTCAAAATACCAAACAGATCATGCATTTTAGCCATGCCTCATTTTGCTCAAATTGCACTTTTTTACCCCTGTTTTTGCAAGGGCTGATTCTGTGAGAACAGCACCACCTACAGGCCTGGCATATGTACTACAGCGTCTCCAGCGCTTTCGAACGGCAATGGCCGTGGCTGTCTCCTCCTGATTGGTGGAGTTGGCCCAATAGCCGTAGCGCCACTGTCCTGACGTCAGGACAGTGTTCAAATCTGGATCAGTTTTTATCAGATCCGCTGCAGCCCCTTTTTTAGAGATTTGGGTATGGAGGAAAATAGAGAGGGTTGTGTTTTCTGACACTTGGTGAGTTCCCTGGAACACCGGGGACACATTCATGTATAAAAGACGTACAAAAGTGCATTTTGCATGATAGGTCCCCTTTAAGGAAACTCCCACCCTTTATGAAATACAGTCAACACATTTTCTTGGAAAGAAGTGGTATAATATACATTTCCTTTTTGTAATGTGCCTCTTGGTTGCAAAAAAGAAAGACGAAGTTAAGCCCAGCCTTTTCATAATGTCGGCATGTTTATTGTTTTAGTTGGGTTTTATTGTTCAACAACATCCAGTAGCTCATGAATTCAGTGTATTTTGGCAAGGAACTCAAATCTCAGAGGACTGACTGCATCACAGCACAATTACCTTTAAAGCAGACATTATGTTTCAACTTATGATCTATCTTGATGTGTTTTTTTAACCATGACAGAGTATCATTGATAAAAAAAAAAAAAAATGTAAAATTAGTCTATGCTCTAGACACAGAAACTACAACCTAACAATCTAAAATTAAATAAAAAACAATTACAGAATCATAAAATATAAAAACATTCATCAACTTTCCTCACAAGTCAGACCGATCAATCAAAACTTCCACTGATATAAGGGCCTGCCTCGTGGTAATTTAAAAATCCTTTAAAGGCAGAGAGGTTATATCGCTACTGAGAGGGAGCAGAGGGAGCAGAATACTTAAGTCCCCCTTTTTAAATTCAATAACCCTCCCATACATTTTTTGTGGGATATAGATCCGTAGGAAAGATGAAAGCAGATAAATAAGAATACGCCAATGGTTAAGTCTACCGGTGGAAAATACAGATTATCAAAGCTTAACGTTCAAAGAACAAAAATGAGCCTCTGCAAGATTTCATTTGGAGCTAAGGGTTGGAGATCAATACAGAAGGTGTTTTATCTTTTGTATACTTTGGAAAATGGTGAGCCATAATGTAAATACATGTTGGTTATAGTTAAAGGCTAAACCATGCAAACCACTGGTTAAGGTTTACAACTTCAGTCTTACTGTTGAAATAAAATGGCACTGTTTTACTTTATTTTCGCTCTCTTAACAAGTCTTTATTTCCTTTGTTTCCGACAGACGTTTGTTAAAGGACAGCTGAGGCTGGAGGGAAAGCAGGAGGAGGGAAAAGGGAAGTGTCCTTTTGATCCCTTCCAGAGATACTCCTCCCTCATGGTCGGTGAGTGTCTGAGTCAGGGTTTGCTGCCAACATGAACAAAGCACAGAGTACTGCTGAACGTTCAAAGTGCACCAACAGAAAAGCTCAGTGTGAGATAACTGTGTGCACGTTTGAAATGCTGCACCGAATTAAGTAAAATAAAAGTAAAAATATCACCCAATTTCTTGGCTGGTGCTCCCTGCTCACTCCACATGGACTAATTAGTTGGTTCAGTCCATTAGCAGGCATATAAATTAGATATTATATCCGGTTAATATAAATAATACATTTCCAGTCATTTTCTTCTTCTTCCTGTCCAACAGGAAATGACCTGTATTCTGCGACATCCATCAACTTCTTGGGCTCTGAGCCGGTGGTTCTGCGCAGCTCGGACTTGGCTCTCCGCACTGAGTTTAAGAGCTCATGGCTCAGTGGTGAGTTCCTGCTCTGCAAAAACTGGTCATTTAAAGTTTTATATTATGGTGTGCATAGTTAAGAGGGGATCAACTGCCGCAACACTTATGCATGATGCATTATTTTAAAGATTTCCTTTGATGTTACTGAGGAAACGTTTTTTAGATTTTTCTGCCCTTTTCCAAAGTGCTAATGTTGTGTTTTGTGATTTCAGAGCCAAACTTTGTCTACATGGACTTTGTGGGGGAGAGCTTTAATAGTCTTGATGGTGATGATGACAAGGTGTACATGTTCTTCAGTGAGAACGCCATGGAGTACGACTTCTCCAGCAAAGTCACTGTGTCTCGAGTGGCCCGTGTCTGCAAGGTATATATACATACTGAATAAAAAACCTCTTTGCATTTTCAAAGACAAGAGAAAGTTGGTTTAGATCAGTAAATACGTACTGAATAATCACTCGGTCTCTGCAAGACCTTTACAAAGACAGAGAAAGTTTAACAACAATGCCTCACGCTGTCTGATTCCTGGTCTGAGTGTTGTGCTTAAGAGGAATATCTGCAGTCCAGCACGTGACCTCTGTCTCTTTGTTTAGGGGGATATGGGCGGCCAGCGGACACTGCAGAGGAAATGGACGTCGTTCCTGAAAGCCCGTCTGGATTGTTCCCTCCCTGAACCCAGCCTGCCCCCCATTGTCCAGGATGTCTTCCTGCTGAAGAACGAGAACTGGAAGGAGAGCGTCTTCTACGCTGTCTTCACTCCGCAGTCGTACGTACTTGCAATCAAATACAGTCGTTTTTTGGCTGAGGGTGTGAACGTGCAGTAAGGTAGAAAGAAAATTGACAGTCATATGGGAAAGAATAAAAAAGGTGAACAAAAAAGTTATTGGATATTTTCTTTTTCTTTTTGTATTTAGCTGTTCATATTTTAATTTAAAAGATGACATCTCCAAAGTATTCTCTATAAGAGATTAAATAAAACAAACAAATGGAAGTGTTCTTGACTAAATGTGTCTAATTTTGTTGTTGTTTCAGGGGCTTGTCCGAGGTATCTGCGGTATGTGCATATAGTGTGTCTTCCATTCGAGATATTTTCAACGAGGGCAAGTTTAAGACACCTGTCGCTGTGGAGACATCTCACGTGAAGTGGGTGATGTACACTGGAGAGGTGCCAGTCCCCAGACCGGGAGCAGTGAGTCTAAAGACTTTGTTCAAACTAGAAGTGATTCTGGATATTAAAGCAAGGAAAATATGAAATACAAACCATTCTGACTTCAAGTTTTGTGTTTCAGTGCATCAATAGTGTGGCACGTAAAATGGGCATGAATCGCTCTCTGGACCTTCCTGACAAAACCCTCCAGTTCATCAGGGACCGCCCCCTCATGGACGAGGCTGTCCAACCGCAGACGGGGGGGGCCGCTGCTGGTGAAGAGGGGAGCTTTGCTGACTCGGATCGTAGTGGACAGTGTGTTGGCGCTGGACCGACAGAGATATGCAGTCATGTTCATTGGCACTGGTAAATATTTGATTTAAAAAAACTGCAACTGCTTGTCTGCAATAGTTATGCACATGACAATAAACAACTTTAAAGAGAACTGATGTTGAGGGCTGTTACACAATGTGTCAAAATGTATCAATATAACAAATCATTTTCAGTCAAAGTTAAAACAGTTCAAGTTTGAATAAAACATCCTAGTTAATATTATTTATTACTTGCTTTAATCTTCAAAATTGCTTAATTTTTCTCATACTGCCTGTGCTGCTGCACCTCTTTTCACCCTCTGGGTGTTTCTCAATGTCGAGGACACTTCCTTGGTAGGACCTGACTCGGAAGACATGTCCTACCAAGGAAGTGTCAGAGGCTAGGCAAGAATCCTTCCTGGCATTTGGAGAACGAAGAATGGAACAGGCTAGCAAGTGTGCAGGTGCGCGTCATATGAGAGGCCCCGCCTTACATTTTCCGCCAAAGATTTTGGAAATTGGTCCGTGCGCAAAGCATTGTGGGGATTTTAAGACCACGGAGGATACACATGTGCAGCCTCAACATTTCCCGCAACGAAGGACTCAGTCCTCGGTAGAATTCCAAGGATCCTGGACATTGGAACAGTCCTTCGGTGGGACTCGATGACGTAGCATCCTTGAAATAGTGGCTCTGAAGCAGCTTTCCTCGACATTGAGAAACACCCTCTGTCTGAAACCAGAGCCCAGTCTGCTCTGATTGGTTAGCTGGCGGCTCTGATGTGATTGGTCAACCGCTTAGAGATGTCCCGCCCCTTAGCCTATCACGTAAAAGTGGTACACAGTGATGTCACTATGTTACACAAGTAAACAAAGGAGTCCAATGGAGGCGTTTCAGGGTGAGAGGGGGAGTGTGAGGGAGAGAAACTCCCTCTGGAGGGAAGTTGTACATGCACAAACACATAATAGGGACTCTTTAAGAAACACATAAACATAAAGTATGAGTAATGACAGTTGATACCTGTGTTTGTGTAATGCGCTTATTCAGTGTATACGATGATCCTTTTTGTTTCCTGATAGAAAACGGTTACATCCAGAAGGCTGTCAACTACGCAGGAGAGATGTTCATCATTGAGGAAATTCAACTGTACAAAACCTCGGTGCCTATCAGCACCCTGCGCCTCTCATCCAGCAAGGTAACTCGCAACAGGTTCAACATTGTGGCAATATATTTAGTTTTACAATAAGTTTCAGTTTGAATTTATAGCTCAATTTAAATATGTTGTCACTATATTGCTTCTAACAGGCAGTAGAGAGGCGACAGTGGATATAAAGATGAAATACCTGGTGGTTTGTTAATGTGTGTCTGTGTTGCATACATAGGGCCAACTGTATGCAGGTTCAGAGTTTGGTGCCATCCAGATGCCGGTCAGTAACTGCAGCCGCTATGAGACTTGTGTGGACTGCATCCTGGCCCGGGACCCTTACTGTGCCTGGGACTTGCCAGAAGAGCATTGCTGCTCAGTCGACAGTGTGTCCTACATTGAAACTGCAATACAGAGTCTGAAGGAGGGAGACCTCTCTCAATGTTCTCCTCCAGGTACATTAAGGCACCATGTTTGCATATATTACTGGGCAGCCTTTTTGTATGAAACAGCAGCATGCAATGAGACCAACCTTATGTGTGTCTTCAATTCATTTACAATGCATTTTTATAGCACCATATCATAGAGAGCAAAGGTGTGAGACATTGTGTACGTATAAACAGGGTTATGAGGGATACTTTAAAAGTGTACTCTGTTACAATTAACACGTAGAAAATGTAATCAGTAACCTAATATAAATACCACTAAGTAATGTAACCTGATTACTTTCCGTTACTTTTGGATGACCTCAATATCAAATGCAATGCAAAGGAAGACAAGAAGAAGAAATATCAATAATATGGCATTTACATAAGTACATTATGTAATACAACAGAACGATGTAACTTTAGTAGAAAAACATATCTCCATAAATGATAGAACGGGCCTGCAGAAAAGTATAGTTTACAAAAGCTTTTTTTGTTTAATACAATAATTAAAAGCATTATTTTTGTGTAATGAATCTGGTGTCCACCTACTGCATTTAGAAAAAATGAATAAAGATATTTAAAAAAAATTATGATAATAGCTTACATGAAAACCCTCCAAATATTCAGGCAGTATATCTTCCTTTTAATGTTTGTAACATTGTATGATAAGATAAGATAATACTTTATTGTCCGATTAAATTGTTCTTGCATCAAAGCAGCTTCATTTGCAACATCGTTGTAAACCTGCTAGTAATGCCCATTTTATAAAAATATACCAGTAATCGGATCATGTATTTCTTTAATGTATCCTGATTATGCTTTTCTATGTAATCCGTTACTCTCCAAGACTGCACATAAAAATACAATCACATAAACAGGTGTTCTGTGTGTCTGTTTTTAGATCCAGTGGCAGCCGTGGACTTTACCCTGGTTCCAGGAAACAACATCCAGCTGCCGTGCCAGCTCCACTCCAACTTGGCGCAGGTCGTGTGGCGATTCGCTCACCATACACTTCACTCCGACAACAAATACTACATCTACAGCCGGGGCCTCCTCGTCCTGCAGGCCTCTGAATCGGACGCGGGCCTGTACACATGTGACTCAGTAGAGCTGATCAATGGGAGACCATACAACCGGACTGTGGCGGTTTATCAGTTGCAGCTCCACTCTGATGCAGGAGTGGGGGAGAGCTCTACTCCTAGCAATGAGGTGACAGATTCCTCATCCTCTATTTACAATGTGATTACGGCTGCACCGGAGCCAAACTCGGGCATGGAGGACCCGTTGACCCCGCAGAACCAAAGCGAGACCAGCAAGGTGACTGGTTTAGAGGTGGCCGTGGCTCTGCTGTCACTGCTCTGTCTCTGCCTGATGGGGGTCATATTTTGCATCTGGAATCAGGGACGTTTTGGATGCTTCAATTTTGCGAAGCGCCCAAGTGAAAGCGAGGTGAAAAGGCAGTCAGCCGAATACATGCACATCCCCAGCAGAACTTCAGAGATTAAGCTCCTGGGGCCTGAGTCTGGGAGACCTTGCAGTGCCAATAATAATCACTCTGTTGTTGACTTCAAAGGCAACGGGGAGCACCACTTCACGCCTATGGCCAACATTTCAAGTCTGGATGGTCTGGGATACATAAATGATGAGTCAGAGATTTGACTGCTGAAGTATAGAAATCAGTCCGAGGCCAACTGCGGTGCACTAATTATCTTCCTATAGGTGTGCTGCTGTAGAAAAGGTTTCCACATTATACATTCTTTTGATTGGTGTCCCGTTTCTCCTTGACAATTTCCAATACTGTCTATCATTTATGTACTGGGCAGCTGAAGAGACTTTTCTGGAACTTTTTTTTTTACATATGTATTTCTTTGTAAAATGTTCATTTGTGAATACACACTGTAATATATTGTGTACAGGTAAGAGCTTTTTTTCAACTATTATTTATTTGTTCAGCAATCTTAATACCTGTGATCTGAGTCTTGTAAATTGGGTCCGTGAACAAGTAGCAGACACTTATACTTTAAATTCCCAGGCAGATATGATTTTATGGACTGTTTATTCAAGACAACATTCCGTCAAAGAGCAAACTGTACATTATTTGGCTGTGTTAATGATTGATAGTCTGTCATAGGTGATACAGAGTGAACTCCATACCTATATCTTCCATAATAAAAACACAAGATAATTTCACTGCAGTAAATGTTGTATCATCATTGGGATGTAGAAATATGGATGTCAGTCTATCAATTATTTGCATCAGAGACACAGCATTTTGTTTTGGCATCAAACTTTGGAAAATGCAGCTCTTGTTGATAATAAAAAAAAAAAACGTTATTGTTTGTGTGTCTAGCTGTCCGTAATGATTACCCACTTCCTCACAGAGCTGAAAAATATTTCTGGAGCTGAACCGACACACGCTTGTTGTCTTGATGTTTCCAACAGATACTCATGTGGCGGGATGATATGAACAAAAACACACACACCTGACTTCAGTTACCTCAGACCTGTTTGTTTTGTCGAAAAGGTCTGAGACCAAACTAAATTACAGGAAAGTAGCATGAATGTACTCTGTGTTTTTCACACTCTGTCATTAACAACAGCAGTCGGAGCCGCTTCAAACCAGTACTGTAAAATATGAAAGGGTTGAAGTGGGTCTCAATTATTCAACAGAGCAGTTGGAACAGAGAGGAAGTTTTCAAAACAGAATTAAAAGTATATTTTGATCTTATTAGGGGATAAATAAATAAAATATTGCCAAGATTGTTGCATAGATATGCAAAAAAAGTGCTTAGATTTCTTAGCATGGGCTTATTTACACTGGGGAATAAAGGCAAGCAACTCACCAAATATTGTTTTCAGTTTCTTTATTCTAAAAAAGAGAGAGCTTTTACTGAGTTGTTTTTAACTTTCAGAAGTTGCTAGCTGCCCTCTCTCCTGTTCATCAGCCCTAGTTTCCTCCCAAGATTTAATGAGCTCTTACTTTTAGTTCAGGCTGTCTTGCCGTTACGGCTCACAGGCTTTTTTTTTATTCTACACCGGTTTCTTTGAACATTTCTGACTTGCATTTCTGAATAAATCAATACGACAGCAGAATATCTTCGACAGGGTAAAATATTTTTCACTGAGGACATGGGGTACAGAAGTAAAAACACAGCAAAGGTGGGCATTAACAGACCACACATGGGTCCATCAGCAGTGACGAGAACTGAGTATCACTGAAGCCTGTTTTTGTATCGTTTTGTTATAAAGGGACAGTTCATCCTAAAATCAAAAATGTATATTTTTCCTCTTCGGCCTGACATCATATAGAGATGTTAGCATCAGTCCCAATGTTATGGGGCTAAATGGCACTTGGCTTACGGTGCTCAAAGCACCAACAAATAAAAAACTCCACAGCATGTCTCTTTTCAGAAATCATGAAGAGGTTAAAGTGAACCCACAGACTTTGCTGTGAGCATTTTTCTTGTAGGAACGGTTTTCTTTCTAACTACACCGACCATCAAAATCAGGCCACAGAAACAAGCATACATGTACTCATTAATGTGAGGCTTGTGTTCATTATAGAACAAGATGTAAACATTAATGGAGTCCTTGTCTGAGGTTAAACTCAGGAAAACAAGCAGTATACAAGCATTAGCATCCCGTGCATGAGTAAATAGATGCTTCATTTTGTGAGATAATGCGGTTGTCGGCTGTAGTTAGGTTGAAAGAAATTGTTCCAACATGAAACTGCTCACAAGGTCTGTGGATTATCTTGAGTAACCGGGTCATGATTTCCAGAAAGAGACATTGCTGTTGAGTTTTGAATATAATATTTTTTTTCAGAGCACCAAAAGCCAAGTGTCATCTAGCTCCACTATATTGGAGAGAAGCCAGACATCTCTGCTGCTGATATCTTCAACCCTCATAACAACATAAAACAATCTAGATAAATAGCAGATAAGAGAACAAATATGTCTTTCTGATTTTAGGGAGACCTGTACCTTTGAGTGTTTGAAGAGCCGAAGTCATTAAATTAAAGGTCCCATGACATGCTTTTCCGGTTATTACCCGTCCCCTTGTGTGTTACGTAGCTTTTTCTGCATGTAAACGGTCTGCAAAGTCACAAACCCTCAAAGTACACCCTGTAGCGAGTAAAACTCTAACATAGAAAAGACCTGTCTGTGCTGTCCCAGAACACCTCGTTGGAGATTTTTCTTTTTCCATTTTTTTCTTCCTGGTCATAGTGACGTAACGCTGCGGAACTCTGCGGATTGGTCCATTTGGACCAATCCTCGGAGCTCCGCACACACACACACACACACTCGGAGCTCAGGCTGTGAGTGTGTGTGTGTGCTCAGGCTGAGCTCCGCGGTGTCTCGCTATCTCGCAGACCCCACGCAGCAACCAGGAAATGACAACAGTAATCCACCTCACACTGTCCGCTCCTCGAGCCTCAAAGGGCGGAGCAGCGATCCCCGCAACGTCCCGCCAACACGGCACCCAGACCCCACGCAGCATTCTCATCTGTTTGTCATTACTGGTGTCCTTTTCTGGTTGCTAACAAACGCCATTGTAACACATACACACTGATGTTCAGCTGTAACATTGGTTGACTAATCAGAACAGAGTGGGCGAGCCGACCAATCAGAGCACAGTGGGCTCATAGGGAGGGGGGGGCAGGAGCTCCAACAAGCCGTTTAGGACAGAGAGTGAATACACATACTATACAGAGATGCTGTATGAGAAACCAATGTGATTTTGGAACATTGAACAATGTAAATCTATTCTAGTAGACCTCAACAATGGAATTATGATCAGTAAAAATGGCCATGTCATGGGACCTTTAATATGCAAACAAACAAAAACAAAAATCTCCAATATTCCTACGTTTTCATACCACCAAAACAATACTGTATGAAATCATTTGGAAAGAAAATCAAACCTTAAACACTTCACAGTTGGATGTTCTAACATTACTCGACACACCAGATAACCGAATGGAATACAGCCATACAAAATAACTTCTGTATTATGAACGTTTTTGGCATTTTTTTCAGATTTGCACCACATTTTCCAACCGTAAAATATTCAGCGAGGACACAGAAATAATGGGAATAATAATATTTATTGAAATGTTGCAATATTTTAAGGTTATTTTTACAATATCGCACTTATCAAATAACAGAAGAAAAAAAAATTAAAATACTGATTTTGGCAGTTGGCCATAGAGGACACTTTCATAACAAGAATAAAAGTAAATCAAATAATGAGGCAGGCACCTTCTACTTCCAGCAGGTGCCTAGCGTCATATAGGCTTTTGGTATCATTCTGCCGAAATAAAAAGCAGTTAAACTTATATTTGACCTGCATAAAAAGCCACAATCATTGGGTTGAATCAGATTCTTCACATATGATTGTTGCAATGACATTTAATCAGTTAACAGATAGTGTTTTAACACACCATGTGTACATTTTACTACACCGCTGAATCCATTTGCAGTTATTTTTTCAGTCAGTTGACTTGGTTGTAACCCGAGGTCAGTTTTTTTGAAATAAGAGAATCCTGTTCAATCTGAACCCCATGATAGACTGCATGCAAACACACTGCAGTCACACAAACATACTCAGTCTATCTGGGGGAAAGTGAAAGCGACTGGAACATTGTCAACAGCAGAAGGACCCTATCCTTCACTGCAGGGTGCTGACCACTAAAAGCAAACCGTGTAGAAACTGAATACATCTACTTTGGTAGTGACTTTTTTCCAGTATCAAAACAATGGAAAGTGTTAGTGTTTTGGCACATGAGCACTCAGTGAGTAATCGGGAGGATTACACACCCAAAACTTTTGAAATGTTTCAACACGTTACTTCACTGAAGCAAAAGTTCAGTTTAACACAAAAAGCAGTTTAAGGCGAAAGTCAAGCAAGATAGTTTTTACATACAAAATCTGCACGCAATATTAAGGCAAGAAATTACAGCCAGTAGGCAAGCATGGAGATTTCAAGCACAAAGCATCAAAAATAACCTGAACTCCTGACACAGAATACATGTATTACAAAGAAATCAATTCCACCAGATAAAAAACGTGCAGTTTGCAGCCGCTCTCTTGTTGCAAAAGCAAAAAAAACTGTGGTTTGGCATACTATGAATTTCTAGCATGCAGATTTTGCAATACATAAAACAATGCTTTCATAAAAGGTCCATAAGGCACACATCCTATACACACTGCTATCCTGAAACAGTTCGCATTCTTTTTGAGTTTCCAATTGCAAGACTTTTTTAAGCATAAAACTGTAGTTCTCTCTCATTCATTTAATAATAAAATATATGTAAACAAAAATTGAAATGTAATGGCATGTTATAAAGATAACCCTCTACTACAAGTGTAGCGCTAAGATCAAGTGAACATTCAAAACAATATTTCTATGCATTTTGTCATGTCAGGGTGAGATGATATGCTGCTTAAAAAACGACCAGCTATCTGTCTCCCTCTAGTGGTGACTCTCCCCTATCACCAGTGGCTGTTGTCGGGGTAACTCGGCACTGCGGCAGGGTACTGGGGCAAACTCGGGCCCTGGGCCGTCTGAGCAACAGCGTTAAAACCTGCTTCCCTCACCGGAGCACTCTTCCACAGCCCGGTGCTCCACTCCTCCTTAGCCTGCTCCATACTGCCGCC